CAAGATTGCTGAAAGACAATCTGATATCCGCATCGCGCAAACGCCGCATTACCACAACTGATATCAACCTAAAAGGCGATTGTAGACCTATTTATATAAACGAACACCTGACTGTGCAAAATAAACAACTTTTAAAGAAAACTAAGGAAACTGCTAAAAAACGCGAATACCTCTACGCCTGGACAAAAAACGGAAGAATTTTTGTTCGCAAAGCAGATACATCAACCCCAATACTAATAGCCACAGAAGAGGATCTAAGGAAGATTGTGTGAAGATTAGCGTTCAAATAATATTTAGTGCTTTCATTTTAATTATCATACGCAGTTTTTTAAATTTAAACAACAAATTTTTTTATATTCTTATTACTAGTAACCTTAAGTTTTTTATATGTGAATTCAAGGATGTTATCATAACGACTAATCCACATTTTTATTGTTACCTCTATGAACTGTACTACTCTGTGTCATCTACTAACTACGAGCTCATGGCTAATGCACAAACCATTCGCGCAATTATTGTGCGTCGAATGAGGACGAGTATAGCGAGCCGGTTGATAAAAATATTATTTATGAAAATTATTCACATACAAATAATACGATTAACATTTGCTTGCAGTATTATGGTAGATTATTATTATTGCGGAAACAATTTTTGCAATAACACTTCAACTATTTATATTTATTACGCGAAAATTTACTTACTCATATCCAAATTACTAAGTAATATTTTAGATAAAAAACTAAACTACCATAAACCAAACGGAATATTAAGAGAATACCATTATAACAAATCACAGAAACTCGCACCCTTTTTTAGTGAGAATCCTTTATTCACTTCGATTCATAATAAACTCAAACAACTGATAACTTTTGCTTGCGCCGTCAACAATCTCGTCAAAGTATTATATTTTTTCAAGTATACCTTCTTAACTAAAAATATTTTTACTGTCTCGACGAAGTTACATTGTATGTTACTTTCAGGTAGGATCTGGGTGAGTGTGCTCTTACTCAGGAGGCTTATTACAGTGTTTAAATACATCCCCAAGTCATATTATGCTGAGACTTTTATTTTGATCTTGCTTGATAATTTATTTTTGGAGCAATTTTTTAGAAATGGCTAATTCAAGATTAAACGTGTACTATCAGAATATTCGCGGCCCTAGGACAAAATGTCTTGAATTTAGACAAAACTTATTATGTACTGACTTGGATGTTATTACTATTACTGAAACATGGCTTCACGACGGTATCTACGATGCCGAGTTATGTGACGGCCGATACGATGTATTTAGAGTGGATCGAGATCTAGCTCTAAGCGGAAAGGAGTCAGGCGGGGGGGTAATGATACTGGTGCGCCGGGAACTAGAAGCTGTGCAGATAGATCTTTTCGACTCACATTCCACAGAAATAATATTAGTAAAAATACCTGCGCGCACGCTCTCATCACGTAATGATCTTTATTTGTTGGCGGTTTATATACCTCCACATCCTATAAAAATTCCATTAGATATTCACTACACGGTCAATTTAATCAAGCACTTGCATAGTATGTACACCGATAGTCACTTTTTAGTGATTGGGGATTTTAATTTACCTTGTATCAAATGGGACCGAAATGGACCGCATTATACAAAATATGGTAGCGTGGACGTACAGAATGCTGGTATTTTTCTTACGGAAAGTTTAAGTTTTTTGAACCTGAATCAGTATAACATTTTAAAAAATCACGCTGGCAACACTCTTGATCTTGCATTTTCTAATTTGTCCTTGGAGATAAGTGCGTGTACACAACCGCTTTCTAAATTGGACATCGCTCATCCTCCATTTTGTATTGATATTTTTGACATCTCCATGCGACCGTTTAAAGAAATCGCTCCACCTCGATATCGCTTTAGAAAGGGCGACTATGAGAATATAATTGATTCTCTTAGCGAATGCAACTGGCGGGCACTTTTTCATTCACAAACAACAGAGAACGCCACTACCATTTTTTATACAACTATAAATAATATAATTCACAAACATATTCCACTAAGTAGTAAATATTCTAAAAATCACAAATATCCTGTATGGTACAGTCCGGCCCTGATTAAAATCATCAAAGAAAAGCTTAAAGCACACAAGCGCTGGAAAAAATTTCACAATATGCTAGATTATGACGAATTCTGTTTATTACGTAACAGGCAAAAACGCATGCAACGCTCGTGCTACGATATATATGTTGCTAATACTGAAAGTGCGCTAAAAAAGAGTCCAAAAATTTTCTGGTCATATTTGAAATCCTTGCGACGCGTGTCCAATTACCCTAGTAGATTAATATATAAAGATATAAGTTATACAGATGAAACTTCTATTTGTAACGCCTTTAACGATTTTTTCCGAAGCGTATTCGGCGCCCCATCTACTCCAGATCATCACAGTTCACCAGAAAGTGCATCTTTAAACTCAATATCTCAAATCACCATATCTCATAGTTTAGTGGAAAATTATCTAAAATCTTTGGACATTAATAAAGGTGCTGGTTGCGATGGAATCCCACCTATATTCTGGGTCAAATGTTCAAAAGTTCTCGCTGTGCCTATTGCATATATTTTCAATTCTTCTTTAAGGGAAGGTGTCTTTCCTGATATATGGAAAAAAGCTCTCATCGTACCCATTCATAAGAAAGGGTCTAAAACCCAAGTAGAAAATTACAGAGGTATCTCGATACTTAATACATTAAGTAAGGTTTTTGAAAAAATTATTTATAGCAATATTTACCCCATAATAGCACAACAAATACCCGAGAATCAACACGGTTTCCTTAAAAAGCGATCGACTGTCACTAACCTGGCTTGTTTCTCAGAATACGTGATTAGTAATATGGAAAATGGTGGGCAGGTGGATGTGATCTACACGGACTTTGAGAAGGCGTTTGACCGGGTAGATCACTCCATACTCTTAAACAAACTAGGGAAACTTGGCATACACGGGGATCTTCTAAGATGGATAGAATCTTATCTTAGTAAACGTTCCCAGGCGGTTGTGGTGGGTGGATTCAGATCGGATTACACAGAAATACCCTCCGGTGTCCCCCAAGGTTCGCATTTGGGACCTCTCTTCTACAATGCGTACATTTACGACTTCCCTAATTGTCTCATGCACTCTAAACATCTGATGTACGCAGACGATAAAAAGATCTTTTTAAGAATAAATGGCATCAATGATTGTTACAAGATACAGGCGGAACTGGACGTATTGTATAGTTATTACATGACTAATAAGATAACAGTGAATGCCAAAAAATGCCAGTGCATATCTTTCACTCGCAAAGCGAACCCCATCTTATACACATATAATTTTAATGGTGTTCACATTGAAAGAGTCAATTTGGTTCGTGACCTAGGAGTTTACCTCGATAGCAAAATGTCATTTACTGATCATATCGACTTAGTCACAAAAAAGTCTCATAAAAATTTGGGATTCGTCTTGCGAGCCTGCAAGACATTTAAGAATATAGGCTCACTGAAGGTCGTATACTATGCATATGTACGTAGTCTGCTAGAATACGCTAGTCCGATTTGGTCCCCTCAATACAAGGTCTATAAAGAACGCCTCGAGCGCATACAAAAAATATTTCTAAGACACATCTCGTACCGGTGTCGTCGGTCGCACGAATCATATACTCGAGCCTGTCACGAGGATAACCTTTTAACTTTGGAAGAAAGACGGGATACACTAGATGTCTGCTTCCTATTTGATATTGTTCGGGACAGAGTAGACTGTTCAGAACTGTTGCATAAAGTAGCATTCTGCGCTCCTAGGCGTCGAACACGTCACACACCGCTATTCAATGTGCCTCAACGTCGCACTAACTACGGTTCGAATACTGTCATGGTTAGGTTACCCCGAACATATAATACAAAGTTTAGCCAGGTTGACTTATTTCGCTCAAGCAAGTTAACTTTCAAAAAGAAGGTGACAGACATCATCATAAACTCTCACAAATTTTAAGTGATATAAACAAAAGTTGTACTTTAACCTTTACTTTTCTTCTTCGTCTTTGCCTTCATCATTATCTCTGTCTACGTCTATAATGTGTGGTACTTATATATTACTTTCACAAACATGTATATTGTATTTCTTTACCAGATTTGTTTTGTGTGGTGTACAGTTTAGCTTAGTATCTACTTAACTATCTATAATATTGATAGGTTTAAGCGGATGGCATCCTTGAATTCCTTAGTATATTTATAGAGTTAATTTTAGCACTAACAAAGTTTGATTGTTACAGTGCTATTTGTTAATTTAAGGGAAACCTGTTATTGGCAATACTACATTACACATAGTTATAAGATATACAATTTGTAAGGCTGTTGGTTTTCTTAATAAAATAAAATAAAATAAATAAATATTAAATAAAAAACCATTCTATTCTATTCTATTCCTCTAACATCAAAGGATTCAATTTGTTTTCTCACAACACCTAACCCTACAGTAGGAGCGAGCGGCCTTAACAAAGGCACGTAACCGGCTAAGTGATACAGACTCTCGCATGCGGACCTAAGGTGCATTTTGATTTAATACGCGCGCAGCATTAATTTTTTTTCGTCGTAGGCTAATTTGACGAAGGTCGTGTCCGAGGCGTGCAAGGTATTATGAACATTAGCGACGTTGTAACTATGTTATTCCCGCAAGTTTACTATCAGAGAGTGATCCTTCTGTTCTTGTACTATTATTTATTCTGTGGTAATATATACATTATATTATATAGATAGGCAGTAAATTAAATGTTCATAAAGTAAAAATAAAACGTTCTCAGATATAAATGTGCATATATTCGAATAACATATTACAAAATATTTAAATAACAGAGATATTAATATTTATTAAAGCTGTGAAATATTATATTATAACAGATTCATATTTCTAATAGGGAGTTATTTTGTAGTTCTTAGGTTTTGTAATGAAGATAAATATTTTTTTCTAAATCATGTAGTCCAAGGAGTTCAAGATACTGAATTATACAGCTTTGATACAAAAAACTTTTCCTCCTGTTAAAACAGCGTATGCGGTGTTGGGTGAAGACGCGACAACTGCGTTAACACAGGCGCCGAGATTAATTTCTCCTGCTGACTGAAGTTGGTCATCTGCAATTTTCCATCGTCGTACGCAACCGTCCCAGCCGCCAGTCCACGCGTAGTCTTCGTTTACTGATAAACTTGTAACTATCATATCACTCACCTGGAATCATACCAACAGAGTTAAATATTAAATAACCAGCCGAGTGCGAGTCGGACTCGCGCATGAAGGGATACGTACTATCGTAATACACGTTTCTAGTAGGGGAGACCCGTTTAATTTTTAATTTATTTTAACTAGTATTATTTGTTGTTATGGCTTCAACAGAAATACACATTCTGTGAAAATTTCAACTGTCTACCTATTACGGATCATGAGATACAGCCGGTTGACAGACAGACGGTAGCGCAGACGGACGGACGGACGTACAGCAGATGCTTAGTAATAGGGTTCCGTTGGGTACGGAACTATAAAAAAGGATTTTTTTTAAAGTCTTTCAAACCGGAACCTTTCCCATCAATATCCTGAGTTTTATTGACGAAAAAAATTATAGACCCCAATAGGTACTGTAAGTGGAGCTAAAGTTCTTTTTTTGGTAGAATTGGGCCTACCAGCTTGCTCTGGAAAACACTTGTATTGCCTGGGTTAGATTGTGATTCCTACTTCTAAACTTAGTGACTAACTCCAGACTACTTAGTGGAATAACTCCAGAACGCCTGAGGTATCTATTAAAATATCCTATAAAAACGTGACTCCCCTCGGATACAGGGGAAGCATATCGCCGACCATCCGGCAGTGTGAATGCTCCTATCAGGTCGTTCTGATTTTGCAAAGACGTCCATAAGCCGATTGAGCCAGATGGGAATCTTCCCATTGTCCTAAAGGCGTGTGTGAAGAATCGGCCCCTTTTCTTAGGCCTCTTTTCCGTTACTACTACAATTTATACGTCATTTCGTATTCATAGAAAAAGAAGACGGCTTTAGTGCAATCGATCCCTAAACTAGGCGATACCTCAGGCCTGTCTAACTAGAGGCATCACCATCCACCTTATATTTCTCCAAAACAACCAATTTTAAACTGCCAGCTCAAAAGGTATCTGGTGGAGCATTAACTGATAACTGACCGACAGTATGATTTCCGTCGTGATCGTGCAGCTGGAGATTTTATATTGCTCTCTACCTGAATGGCTGGTCAGTTGACTGAACTGGCGTGGACTGGCCGGAGGCAGTTGAAACTAAGAGGGAGATAATGAATAGAATCAGGCGTTAACTAAGACATCGTTTTATTTTATTACACGAATCTTAAGCTAATTATTTTCAAAATCTGTAATACTAAGAGAGAGGTCTTGGCTTGGTTGACATGGCGTTTCTTTTGAAGCTGTCTTTCCATGAGCTTCCCGAGAAATTCAGAAAAATTGCATCCGGATTACCAATTTTTTCACAAATATGATAATCATCGTCGTAGTCGACGGTGCATGCACGACTCCATGCCTGTAAATGCTGATTTTCCTCAAGGCTGTGTGCCTAACCCGTTTTTTGCATATCAGTGATATTTTGCATTTTAAACTAGGACCATTCATTGTTATGTAGACGACAGCGCTGGCGATATTTTAACACCTTCTATCGGAGGTGCTAGAACAAACTTACAGCTGAATTCGAGTCCTTGTTAAGGTAAATCTCAGACTGGGAACGACTAAATCTAGTCTAGTTTCTCAGACAATATCGGATGTCAGATGGATTTTCGTAAATTGGCACTACCGTTCGATTTACAAGGAATTTATTATAATGCACGACGACACTGGTACTTTTTTATAGAATAAAGGTGACAAGCGAGCACACAGTCAACCTGATGGTAAGTGGATACTGTAGCCCATCATCATTATCATCATTACAGCCCTTCACAAGTGCTGTACATAGGCCCCAAAGAAATCTACAGAGGTGATGGTTCTGAGCCACCTGCATCCATCGACTTCCTGCATGTGTTACCAGGTCGTCACTCCATCTAGTGGAGGGACGCCCTACACTTCGCTTACCGGTACGAGGTTGCCACTCGAGCTCGAGAATCTTTTTTCCCCATCGGTTGTCGGTTCTTCGAGCTATATGGTCGACCCATAGCCACTTCAGTTTACTAATCTGTTGGGCTATGTCGGTTCTACTGCGGATATCCTCATATCTAAGTTTATCACGCAGAGCAACCCTGAGCATAGCCGTCTCCATAGCTCGCTGAGCGACCTTGAGCTTCCTCTTACGGCCACCAGTGAAGGACCACGTCTCAGATTCATGTCATCACTGACAACACGCACTGGTTGTACAATCTCGTTTTCAAGTTTTATATACTTGACCAGAAGATGTGTCGTAATTTACCGAACGCTGCCCAGCCGAGTTCAATCAGTTGATTGACCTATCGGTCGAAGTTGGACTTACCTAGTCGGACTACTGGTCCCAGGTAAACATACTCGTCAACAACTTCGTGCTTAGTGCTCCCAACAATTACCGGCATAGGTGTGACATGGATGTTATACATGCTCTTTGTTTTGTCCATGTTCATTTTAAGACCTATCCGTTGGCAGGTAATATTGAGGTCATTGAGCATAGTGCTTAGGTTCTCCAGTGATTCTGCCTTAAGGACTATATCGTCGACAAATCGACTGTGAGTGATGTACTCGCCATTGATGGTAATACCGTATCCTTTCCAGTCCAGTAGATTGAAAACTTCTTCCAATGCAGCGGTGAAGATTTTTGGGGTATAGCATCACCCTGTTTTACACCTTTCTGCTCTTGTATGGGTTTCCTACTCTGGTTCTGTAATCGGATAACCATCGTAGCCCTACTGAACAAATACTTCAGCTCTTCGATATACCGGCAGTCAATTTGTCACCGCATAAGGGACTGCAGCACCGCCTAAATTTCGACCGAAGCAAAGGCTTTCTCATGTCTACATACGCAAGACAAAATGGCAGATTGTACTCTTCGGTCTTTTGTTAGAGCGTTGCCTCTAGCAACGGATGCATGTAATCAATAATTTTAGTCATTTTTTAAAAGTAGATTTTAAATGTATTTATAATACTTAAAAACAAATTAGAACGTGGAATGTGATGATAGGATATTGAACATTAATAATGTGCTTTTAGATGTAGTTTATTTCTCATAACTAATGAGATAATAGTCTCTGAATAACGAAGAAAAACGCACTATCGCAAGGTTTTGGTCGGGGTATCGCCTTATTAAATAATTTAAAACCTTTGATGGAAAAGGTCTGCATATTTTCAGGGACTTTGTTGTAAAAGTGTATACATTGCCCCATGAAGGAGTTACTGACACTTTAGAGTCAAGTAACTGGTATAACTAACTTGTGCTTGTTCTTAGTATTTGCAGAATGTACATCACTATTTTAAATAAAACTATTCTTGTTTTTGTGTACATACATTAAATTTTCGTAAATATATAGAGACCAAAGTTAATATATCTATTTCTTTAAATTTTTCTTTAAGGGATTGCTTCGGACCTAGGTTATAAATTGCTCTTATGGTTCTATTTTGCAAAACAAAGATAGTTTCAATGTCAGTCGCATTACCCCATAGCAAGATTCCATATAACATTATGTTATGGAAATAACTAAAATAAACTAGTCTAGCTGTTTCTAATACTAATACTAGTACTAATCTTTTTTACAGCATAATATGCTGCAGAACTAAGTTTACTGGTTAGTTTAGAGATATGAGAGCCCCATTGAAGCTTCGCGTCGACTGTAATACCGAGAAAAAAAGTGGATTCAACAAGGTCCAGCTCATCCCCATTTAAAAGAACATTGGTATTCACCTGTTTAACATTAGGTGTAGTGAATTTAATACATTTCGTTTTATTACCGTTCAAAATCCATCTATAGTACTTCAAGAGAGCTTTGTCACTTTTCTTGAAGAACAAGACCACCGCACTTCTGTTTCACGCCTAACGACGGAATTAAAGAGCTTCTGAAGTTGTGAAGAAGTAAAGTTTTCCACGCGTTTTCACAAGCTCTGCAGTAATTCCATCCTCACCTTCGGGCCCTTGCCGTTATTAAGGTCCTAGAGAGACATTCCAATGTCGCACAGTCTGACGTCCGGGATATCATTGGAATAGTGTCGGATAAAACTTGCTTTTGAATCATTACTCACACATGCGTGTGGCTCCAACAATGATACGTACAGCTACCAGTAGAATTTCTTAATCCCACTCAAAATCTCAGGTATCTCGGAAACGATGCTGCCACACTCGTTCTCCAGCTTCGACAGTTGACTCTTTCTGGCAGACAGATCTCGCGCAAGGATTTTGGAATCCTGGTTCCACTCAATCGCTTCTTCAATACAAGCTATATCTGATGTGTTATATCTCCCCAATTAAGAATCAAAATGCAAATTCGTTGTCAACCCTGAGAACTAAGATGTAATGCCTCGTTTCCCGTAAAATAGGTCTCCGTTTCTCTACACTCACACTACGAAACACAGCAGTATTAAGCAGCTATTTAACGCTGGTATTCTGTGAGAGCGTGGTCTTTCCCCGGTCAAGTCGACCTATTCATGCTACAACTATAATATAGCTGCAGCGTAGCTCTTCCACGTATTAAACCGGATTTACTGTCGTCAGCATTTTTCCGGACCGAAACAACTCCGCTTTTACGAGGCGGCACTGAAAATTTCGGGAATCAAGGAAGTTCCACAACATTATTATATAAAAATGTATTTATTGCTTTTCGAAGTATTCTCCGCGAAATTTGACACATTTTTCCATACGATGGAACCAATCATTGAAGCAACCATTCCATTCGGAAGTTGGGGTCTCCAAAATGGCCGTTTTGTAGGCGTCCACAGCTTCTTCAGGTGATGAAAATCTCTGTCCACGCAATTTATTCTTTATTTTAGGGAAAGTATAGAAATCATTAGGGCTTAGGTCGGGGCTGTACGGCGGATGGTCTAATAATTCCATGTTTTCTTGCTCTAAAAACTCTTTTGTCCTGTGTACGGTGTGAGAACTCACATTGTCGTGATGGCGGATGATGCGGCGGTTGCAGTTCTCTTTACGGAGTTCATAAACGACCTATGGCAAACAAATGCTAGCATACCATTCTGCATTAACCGTTCTTTGTCCCTCAAGAGGAATAATCGTAACATGGCCGGTTTTGGAGACAAACATGGCCAACATTTTTTTTGCAACACTCCGTGAACGAACAATTTTTGTTGGCTTTAACTCATTTTCGAACACCCAAACTCGTGACTGGTTTTTTGTTTCGGGTTCGTACGCGTATATCCAGGATTCGTCACCTGATACGATGTTGTATACAGCATTTGAGGATCATGCGTGGAATCTTTCGAGAGTTCTGACGCACCAAGTAACGCGAGCCGCTTTTTGGTCTTCACAGAGCGAATGCGGTATCCATCGGGAAAACATCTTTTTTACACCTAATTGTTCATGCAAGATTATTTGTATTTGACTCATGCCAATGTCTAAAGTTGCCTGAATTTCGCCGTATGTCACATGTCGATCTTCCTCAATCAGCTTACGCACAGCATCAACGTTTTCTTGGGTGACTGCAGTTTTTGGACGACCTTGACGGGGATCATCACTGAGCTTGACACGTCCACGTTGAAATTCAGCAAACCAGCGATAAATTGTGGTTTTGGATGGGGCTTCATCACCAAATGCAGAAATCATCCGGTCAACATACTGTTTTTGTGTTAAACCACTTCGAAAGTCATAATAAATCATCGCTCTTGAATTTTCTCGAGTCGATTCCATTTTCTCAACGACTAAACAAGTTAGACAAAACCTTGTGACAAGACCGAGAATCTTTTTTTAAATAAATAAATGGTATTCGATTTTTAAAACCAAGGAGTTTTCAATTAAAAAGATTTTAATATGACAGGAACAGTGGAAATATTCCATTCCCGATACATTTAGTGCAGCCTATGTACTTACTACTTACTCTACTTTTAGAAAAGAGCTTATTCCTTCCCAAGCTTCTAAAAAAATATATATCCTGCATTCATCACCTATAACGATATTAAACTTTACACGCGAATCACCTTTGTCGTAGTGCAGACATCTAAATTTTCATGTAAGATTTTTTGTATCTAGAGTTATACTTACAAATACCTTAGCTTGATTGCATTTCCATTACTGCTGAACATAAGACTCTCCCATAGATTGCCCCATAGGGAGGATTTTGCCATAGTTGCCATGCTGGCAGGCGGGTTGGCAACCACAAGTTTTTTATTATTTTGAGTTGTTATCAGGAAGATGGTGCTGCCCATCTTCTATTTTAGGTTCCCCCTGTCGCCTCTTAAGACAACCACGGTATGATATAGGGTAGTGGATATTCTTAAATGGCCACTACACGGTATTGATTTTTTTAGTAAGCTACTCATTACCCACTTCTATTATACGTTACTCTGCACTGACGTTAACTTAAGCTGTTGCTTTTATGCAAATCATCAATAACATTGCTATAACAACGTTTAAACTCTGAATCCCTGGGTTGGTGACGCCCGACGTAGTTTAGCAGCTCGCGTGCAAGAGCTTTCATAGAGCACATGTAAATTTCAAACACTCATCCGTGCCTTTGCATGTGCTCATGATAAGTTGATAATATAAGCCCTGTTTGAGAGTATACTGTTGTACCTTAACTTCATGGAGTTTTTTAAACTTGGTGTCAAAAGAAGCGTCGTGAAGCTGTAGATCGTTTCCACCCCTTGCTGTGACAACAAGTCGTGAGCCGGCTACTCGTAGCGGCGCCCGACCTTCCATCGTGTGCCGAGTTATAAAGCGAGTCTTCGATTCATCTGTAACAATTTTTGGAATTTATTAGAGTTTACTCCTTAAGAATCGCTTCATATATAGTGCACGGCATGTAAAATAGATGGGTAGTAAAACAAAAAGTGAAGCCGTTATGGTTTATTCTGCACAACCAAAGAGATTTAAATATATAAGTATATAATAGAGCGGACATAGGGAACATTTGCATACAAAAACTTTGAGCTTACAATATAATTTACTAATAAAAATTATATACTTGTTATCGCAAGTATATAATTTTACATTATATACTTGCGATAACAAACCGAAATCACATTCAGTTTTTGCTATATATCGTTAATTTATAATACCTTAATGCACAATTGGGCATATTTTCTTTAAAAAACATTTTTTTTAATTTAGGAAACGAATGCGCCTTGGGCTTTCGAAGATGTCACTAAGACTAAATGACACAAACCCGAAATATATCCTGTAGGACATAACTAAGAGGTTTTTGTTTAACATTTTGTTGCTGATGTCCGGTCTATTACTAGGACTACATAAATGTCTTTGTGCACAATATACTCGCGCATCTCATAGCGCGAAATGAATAATGTAATATAAGTCATATATTTTAATGTATTTCCATAATCCATACGCTGCTGTGTTTCGTATGGTGAGTGTAGAGACCCTTTTTACTGGAAATGAGGCATTCCATCTTAGTCCTCACGGGCGACAACGCATCTGCATTTTGATCTGTAATAGAGGATAGATCTAGATGTCAATGGGCGGCAGCAACCACTTACCATCAGGTGGACTGTGTGCTCATTTTGTCACCCTTATCCTATAAAAAAACAAATATATTTGTGTTACAGAAGAGGGCCATAAGAGCAATCTATGATTTAAAACCTAAAGAGTCGCTCCGACAAAAATTTAAGGAAATTAATATATTAACTTTGGCCTCTTAATACATTTATGAAAATGTAATGTATGTACACAAAAATAAAAGTAGTTATACAAAAATAAGTGATATTCGTTCTGTAAATACCAGGAACAGACACAAGCTAGTAATACCAGTTACTCGACTCCACCGAGTCAGTAATTCATTCTTGGGGCGATGTATAGGTACGCTTTTACAACAAAATCCCAGAAAATATACAAAATTCGATCTGCTCAAAGTTCAAAAACTTTATTAAACAAAGTTTGTATAAAAAGGGTTATTATAATATTAAGGAATTATTGGATGATAATAACCCCTGGGAATGAGGTGATCGCTACCAAGTTATTTTTAATTTGTTTTGTGTGGTTAATTGTGTAACATATGTACCTACATGGTTTCTTGCTGGTTTTCCCTAGGACGGGTTTTTTTCGGACCAGTGGTAATTAAACAAAAGAGTGACTTTCAATAACTATTATTTATAATCTATATTGAGTAAAAAAAGTTTCTGTTTCTGTTTCTGTAATATAATTTATGTAATATATTTTATCAAATTAAAATAAATAAAAAGACAATCGATTTTCAGGCGTGAACTCCAGTCACGCATCGGAATGACATGCACAATTTTTTTTCTTTTAAAGTTAACTGAGGATATACCACAGAGTACTTTTTATATACTGGAAGGATATAAAAACCCTGACCTCTATATATACAAGTCAGTGATATAATAAGCATACATTATAACATCAAAGTGAGACTGTAACTGCGATCGCCGTTTCCAAGCATGACGATTAGATAAGGTAAATTAATCCTACATGCAATAGGAGAGGCACACATCATAAGTGTAATACTAACTTTATAAGGTTAATTTAAATTTAAGTAAAGATCTAATTTGGTCTTCTAACATACTTGTTCATTTTCATGAAATAAATAAAGCACCACCGATATTAAAACAGTAAATATTATTTCTTTTTGAGCGGAAGACATCTGACACTTAAAAACACGATGTAACTATGTGCTTTTGCAATGAATACAATTTACATAGCAATAAATATTACCGTTAAAGTGTACCCAATTTTAAGAATTGCCTTGATGAAATTCATAAATACCTATATCAATGTCTTAAAAATTCAAATTGCTGGTGTTGTTGCGTAAATTTTAAATGCATAATATTAGTGATAATAATCAACTACGAGTATGAGATTCAAGCTGAATTACTCTCGACGCATTTTTGTGTAATAAACTAATAAATCTAAAAGTAAGTATTTTGTAACCAAGCATATAAATTAATTGTTATTGCAACATCAATAATAATATAATTTACATGCTTACCTCCATCCTACAATAAAATAATTTGAATAGGTTTTACTTTTTTTATAACTAATAGATTCACCATAACAAATTAAATCACTTGAATTGCAAGCGTAAAATAAGAAATGCGACAGGTTATTTATGTTGTAATTGATTAAGATTTACATTGACAAATTAAATGATGCTGTTTATATGCAGTGTGGAGGCGGGGTAAGATAATTTAAAATTAAAAATTTTGTACAGCCCACTTCAATATAAGTTATTAAGAATAACTCAAAAACTATTAGTCTGACCTTGATAAAATTAACGTTCACGCGGTAAAAAGTTATGAGGTAGCACTCATAAAAAAACATATGGTCGAATTGAGTACCGTCTCCTTTTCAGAAAAACAGAATGCGTTAGCCATTTTGTTCTGTGGGTGTTGTCATAGGTCTCATGAATTTCGATTAATGGTTATATAAAAATCTTGTTAGCTTACGTAGTAGCCTTTCAGTTAACAGACTAGCCTTTTTATCAAACTGCGCCGTTCAACTTGCGGCCTGAATCATATTAAGCCGATACATCTAATACAATATTGCACTTATCTTATAATATCAGCGACAATATTAACAGTGGTAGAGCCACGCGGCAGCTGTTGCTGTCGCACGGATGGGCCGGCTCGAACCGGGGTGGTACCACGACCTCACAGAAAACCAGCGTTACCTCTGCGTTTCGCTTGGTGAGTGCAGGTGGCCGGAGGCCCTTTTTACTGGAAATGAGGCATTCCATCTTAGTCCTCACGGGTGACAACGCATCTACATTTTGATTTATAATAGAGGATAGATGTAGATGTCTATGGGCCGTAGCAAGCACTTACCATCAGATGGACTGTGTGCTCGTTTGTCACCCTTATCCTATAAAAAAAAGACAATCGGCTGAGGTGCGGCTGATGTGAACACAAGCCACCAACATTACATGGCATGGTCACCCTATTAATTTTATTCAACGAGATGGTCGCTGGTCTTTGAGTTAAACGACGCCGTTTAGTAAGACTGTTGCTGTTGAATAAAGGTCTAATTTAGATAGTTGGGTGCGACAATATCCCAGATGTAAAATACGGTGACGAGAGCAGAATCAAAAGTCGTGACATCTGGTATTGCAATTGCCAGTCCGCATGCCAAGCGTAGCGGTGGTGGCGAATCTTTTTAATATGGAAGAGGTCTATGTCCAGCAGTAGAATGTAACCGGCTGATAAAAAAGAAGAAGAAAATTTTGACAAGTTTTCAACATCAGAAGCCAACATTTTAGAATAATATAAAAACTCACCGACGTTAAACTCTCACCACTCCATGGGTTTACCGGTATAGAATGCCTCATGATATTAAGTTCATCCTATGTATATTTTAATTATAGAGAATGAAATAACAAATATATAGATAAATAAATATGTCATGTTCACGACACATGTTAGGCACATGTTATTATTTAGTAGGTTTAGATTGGCAGCCGATGATGCTGCAAGAGGTCCATGAGGTGAACTGAGGTTAGAGCTGCTATGATAGAAATCAATCTAAAGATCTTTAATCAATTTACCCTGCGGGGATGTGTAAAATAAAATAAAAACAAATAGCCCCTTACCTGGTCTTATCTCAGTGACTGTGACATATAAGTCTCGAGCAGTAAACAAGTACGGTGGTTTCAATCCAAGGTCTTTTACTTCTTCGAGCACATTGTATCTAGCTTTTTGCGTATTATTCTCATAGATGACAACCTGTAAGTGGTATTCTGTTTGAAAATACAAGTGAAACAGTGGAGAGCGAGTTTAAAAGTCGTGAGTTCGAATACGTCATTCAACTACCATCATGAGCTCGTGGACTACTCCTTACACTTAGGTACTTCGAAGTCGTAATCAGGAATAATAATAATGACCCAGTATTCTTTATTAAAGGTTAAATAAAATAGGAACTTTTCGGTCGAGCTTTTGCTTTTCTTTTTTATTTATTTTATCTTTCTTATTCTCATTATATTTTTTTTCTTATTCTTATTTATTTTATCAATTTTTCATTAATAAATAAGTTTTTTGCATTAAATATAGCCTTTTTTATAGGAGAGGGGGCAAACGAGCATGCGGCTCACCTGATGGTAAGTGACCGCCGCCCATGAACAACCGCAACACCAGGGGAATTGCAGATGCGTTGCCGGCCTTTTAAAAGGAGTACGCTCTTTTCTTGAAGGTCCCTAAGTCGTATCGGTCCTGAAAATCGCTGGTGGTAAACTATTCCACAAGGAAGTTGTGCGAGGAAGAAAAGATCTTCTAAATCGCATAGTGGTGGACCGCCAATCATCCAGATGATGCGGATGGTATCGGGAGTTCTGCCGCGATGTGCGTTCGTGAAATTTGGCGGCCGGGATTAATCCGAACAATTCCTCAGAGCATTCTCCGTCGTAAATGCGAAAGAAAATGCAAAGAGATGCAACATCTCTTCGCAGCGCCAATGAATCGAGCCGATAGGAAAGGACTCGGTCCTCGACGGTTCGAGTCGCTTTGCGCTGGATGCGGTCAAGTAGAAGGAGCTGGCACTGGGGAGCCCCAGCCCAGAGATGGGAACAGTATTCCATGTGAGGCCGAACCTGTGCCTTGCAAAGTTGCAGGCGTTGTGCCGGCATGAAATACTGTCCCGCTCAGCTGAGCACGCCAAGCTTTTTAGAGGCCAATTTGGCCTTCTCTTCCAAGTGACCACGAAACTGCACGTCACTCGATATGTTGATGCCGAGGGTTCCAATAGGTTCTTTTTAGCGGTAAACGCGCAAACTTGTATCTTCTGAGGATTCAACTGGACTAGATTTAGTCGCCCCCAATCCGAGACTTTGTCCAGCAAAGACTCGACTTCAGACACAAGTTTGTTCCGGTACTCGGCGACGTTTTCCCGAGAAATATTGGCACGGCCGGTGTATAGAGCATCACCAGTGCTGTCATCCGCATAGCAATGAATGCTACCGGTTTGCAACATATCATTGATATGTAGAAAAAACAGCGTTGATGATAGCATGCAGCCTTGTGGAACAACAGCGTTAATAGGCTTGAAGTTGGAGCATGCACCGTCTACAACGACCTTGATGCTCCGATCTGCAAGAAAGCTGGTGATCCAATTGCACAATTTCTCGGGAAGCCCATAGGAAGGGAACTTCTAAAGAAGCGCTTTGTGCCAAACCCGATCGAAGGCCTTCGCAATGTACAAACTAACAGCCAATGCCTCCCCCTTGGACTCTACTGCCTCCGCCCATCTATGAGTCAAGTAGGCCAAAAGATCACCAGCTGATCGACCCCGACGAAAACCGTATTGGCGGTTACTAATCAGCTGGTGATCCTCAAGGATCTGCTGCTGATGATCATTTTCATTATTTTTCATTATTTTGGAGAACAAGTGGGTGATTGCGATAGGCCTGTAGTTGGACAGGTCTGAGCGGTCGCCTTTTTTAGGAATCGGGTAGACAAAAGGTGTCTTCCATGATTTCGGGACTACGCCTAGACAGTAGGAGTACCAGAAAAGATGCGTTAGAACCGGTGCCAACTCCGGAGCACACGTCCTCAGCACAATTGGGGGGATTCTGTAAGGCCCACTCGACTTATGGATGTCCAGGGAGAGGAGTGCTTTGCGGACCGATCGCTGTGAGAACCGCACATCCGGCATGGAGCACTCACACCGCGGGATGGTCGGCGGTGTGTTCCCCCCGTCATCAAGAGTCGAGTTGGACGCAAAAAGGGAGCCTAAAAGATCGGCTTCCTCTTTTGCGACGTGGGCCGGTGAGTCGTCCTCCCTGTGCAGAGATGGTAGTGATGGCTTACAGAAATTCCCTTGGACAGCCTTGGCGAGAGACCAGAATGCACGGGTTCCCGATGGAAGGCGAACTAGTTTCTCGCCAATTCTGCCTATGTGCTCTGACTTCGCCTTGGCAATAACTCTTTTGAATGACCTGGAGGCGAAGTAATACTTCATTTTAAGCATGCTGGTGCTTACATCCCGAGCTGCCGAAGCCTCAGCCCAGGCCCGATAGCACTCCTGCTTACTGCGTAATGCATTCTTACAGGAGCGACCAAACCAAGGCTGAGATCTGCCTCCGATGGGTACCACAGATGATGGAATAAATAGTTGCGTTCCTTGTAGCACCACATCAGTGACAGAGTCAGCAACAGCGCTGGGATCATCCGGCGAGAAGCAAACCTGCCCCCATGGGTAGGAAGCAAAGAAAGACCGCATTCCGTCCCAATCCGCCGACTCGTAATGCCAAACACGGCGGCAACCTGCGAAACGCAACCGAGAGGGGAGCGTGAGTGGCATTACACCACGTATCAGACAATGGTCCGAAGAGCCGAGAGGGGCATCGACGGAAACCTGATATCCGTCCGGATGAGAGGTCAGCAGAAGGTCCAACAGGGAAGGTGTATGATCCTCCACATCTGGTATCTGCGTAGGCGATGTAACCAGTTGTGTCAGACCATATGCCAAGGCAAAGTCATAAACAGATCTCCCCGCATGATCGGTTAAACGTGAACCGAGCCATTCGGCGTGGAGGGCGTTAAAATCGCCAACAATCACGATCTCTGCGGCTGGGAGCTATTGTAGCAAGGAATCTGTAGCCATTTGGACGTGGTCGATAAGTCGGTCTGTTTCGACATTACCGCTATGGGACCTATAGAGACACCCGTAGACGCGCGAATGGTCTTCGCTATCTACGCGTAGCCAAAGGATAGACAGGTCCGAAACTTCAAGACTGCCGAGGCGTCGAGAACAGATGTCCTCTCTGACGTATACGTAAACTCCAGCCCGAGGCACAAAGGCGTGTTCCAATTTGTACCCCGGGTAGTAGAGATACGAAGTATCTGCCGGAAAGGACACCTGCGTCTCGGTTAGAAAGAGGAAGGCCGGCTTCGCCATCTCGAGATGGTAATGGACGGCGTTTAGGTTCGAGTGAAGTCCCCTGATGTTGCAGAAATTCACGGATAGCATGGCAGGGGTCGCCTTGGTATTGTTGCTCAGTTTGCCCCGAGCAGTTATTGTGTTGAGCGGAATTTTGCCCCTCCCCCCCCCCCCCCCTCCACCCAAAATACGCGGGGCAGCCTGAGCACCCACGCTCAGGAGTGGAGTAGCATGGTCGTGGATGCTCAGCGAGGAATTCTCCAGGGGTGCTGGTACCCTCCTGGGGTAGTATACCATGTTGATGGCGGGAGAGGGGGGAATTGGGCCTCCGGTCAGCTGCACTCACCAGACGAAACGCAGAAGCAGAGCTTCCACTTCACGCCGGTATTCTGTGAGGTCGTGGTACTAATCCGGCTCGAGCCGGCCCATACGTGCAACAGCAAAAGCTGCTGCTAGGCTCTACCACTGTTAGATCCTAGATCACGCCTTGCATTGCTCTCTATTTATTCGTCAAGTTTCATTTCAGTCTGTTCAGCCATTGCGACGGTTATCTCAGACAGACAGACAAACATTTTAAAAATGGTTTTTCATGATTTAATGGCTTTCAAATAACCGCCTGAGCTCAATAAGGCAGTTGTTTCGATATTACAGACCGACACTTCAATTTTATTTATATGTATGTAAGGTATAATCTATAAACTATATCGACGGATTCAACTCGGCTGGGCAGCGTTCGGGAAACTACGACACATCATCTCATTAGACATACCTCAAAACCTGAAAACGAAATTGTACAACCAGTGCGTGTTGCCAATGATGACTTACGGATCTGAGATGTGGTCCTTCACTGCTGGCCGTATGAGGAAGCTCAAGGTCGCTCAGCGAGCTATGGAGAGGGCTATGCTCGGAGTTTCTCTGCGTGATAAACTTAGAAATGAGGATATCCGCAGTAAAACCAGCGTAACCGACATAGCCCAACGGATTAGTAAGCTGAAGTGGCAGTGGACCTGCCATGTAGCTCGAAGAACCGACAACCGATGAGGAAGAAAGGTTCTCGAGTGGCAGCTTCGTACTGGTAGGGCGAAGTGTAGGGCGACCCCCCACTAGATGGAGTGACGACCTGGTGAGACATGCAGGAAGTCGACGGATGCAGGTGACTCAGGACCGTACTTTGTGGCATTCCTTGGGGGAGGCCTATGTTCAGCAGCGGACTTGTGAAGGGCTGTAATGATTATGATGATGAAGGTATAACTAAACTGACCATTTATTTTTTAACTCAAAGCGGGACATGGGTTTATTTATACACGCCAGTTGGCAGGTTGACAATAAAAATAAACATAACATTTTAATGTTATTTATTTAGAAAAACTGTAACTTTATACAATTAGTATTTACTATAATTATATTCACATTAATTTAAAACAAATTGTGAAAAATAAAAATCAATCACCAGTTCACCAGCTTCATTAAAGCAAAGTTCCTCAGACAGTAATAATAATTAATGCAATAATGCAACATTTTTTTTAATTTACATTTTTGTCAGTGGAATAAATTTGCTTTAATAAATTTGATGATTTTAAATAAGAATAAAATTCTGGGCATGTTTTTTTTAAATAGTTATCTTTGTAATCAGCATCGCCTTTAGAACTGGAACCACCGTAAGGGATTTTTTCTGACGTCCACAACTTATTCAAAATAGAAAAATACTCTTTCTACGGGAGCATTTGTACCAGGTAGACATAAAATATAATCGATTAAAATGCAAAAAGTTTATGTTGAAGGTTGTTGGTGCAAAAGTGTTTGAATACCTCCACCTAACGAGTTTCAGTAGAAACTTTTAAATTATCCCATTCGGTTATTTTTTCGGAAGTGACGTAGCTTGAAAGTAATGTAAATTCAACAAATACTTCTGTATCTTTATTATATATCCCTTTTCAATCAATATAGGCAGTGCTTTTTAAATATCTTCCCATGCAGGTTGTTTTCTTAAATCTGCCCAATTCTCTATCTGCCTAATCTCCATTTCGTTATTAAGAAAGCAAGTCCACTGTTCACAGCTTGTTTTATAAAATTCTGTAACTGTACTTTTCACAGACTCTTAAGCAATATTATTTGGTTTCGGAAAACGGATCTATTTTGCGTCCCGGATCTTTGTTTGGGGACAACGGGACAGGTAACCGAGAAAAAGGACAGTCCCGTTCAAAACGGGACGTATGGTCACTTTAGGTATAACCAATACTTTACGCTGGTAGCTTTCATATAGGTAGGTAACATGGATTAAAATGTTTATTGAATTTGTTTCGTATAGAATTTGTTGCGCATCATTACGTAAAGATCATCATGTTCAAATACTTGCAAGAATTTCTACCGTTTGTAATCAGAACCAAATGCTTAGAGGTCACTCGATTAATAACATTCAAACATTTGTTTATTAGGTAGTTCTCATTTCATAAATCCACTTGAATTTAAAGTGCAGCCTTGATGTTAAAAGTTTAATTATAACACTGTATAACACTGGCGACACGCTTTAAAAATGGTTTGACATTTTTCATTTTATAAAAAATAAATAATTTTGTGTTTTGAAGTTATTGCTATTAAATTATAGGCACTCCTATTAAAGAGATATATACAATATAATGTCGAACGAAAGTTCGGAGTTCGATTACATCCGGTCGAAGGTTGATTCCATGAAAGTTTGTTTATAGATTATATTAGATATTAAAAAAAAATTAGATACTTATTTTAGATGAAAATATATTTTGCTTTTGTGATAAGAGATAAGATTCATTATGGCTAGATAAGAATAGCATATCTAAACAAATAATGTTTCATAATGAACAGAGATAGTTGTGATTTAGACAAAGAAAGCACTAGCCTCCTACTGATATGATAGGGGTCGTATAGGAATTGGTTGCTCATGTTGTATGAGATCTAAACCGTGTCTAAATAATGTACTATAAAAATAAAAAATAAACTATGTTGAAATAAGTAATGAATGTTTCAGGATTATTGTGTGTACTAATAAAAACAGTGCTGTGTTAAAAGTGCCTAAATTTGTACTTAAAATAGTGAAATAATAATGATTTATATAAGAAAATTAAAGTTGAATTAAAGTATAAAATGTCTTTAAATTGTAAATTACACTATTGTATTAGTTAAGATATTCATGTTTACTAATAAAGACTGTTACCATATGTTTTATAGAAATAGAGATATGGGGTAAAATACAAGGGTGCAATAGTGAAAATCAATGTCGAATGTCGAAATTGCGCGCAGTGCGCGGTTCTCTTTCGCGTATAGCTCGCGACTAGGATAGTTAACTGGTAATTTGGAAATTCGTAGACCAGGGTGCTGCACTATTTGGCGGCCGAGTACAACCGCGGCCGCACATCGTTGGGCGTCTTTCTCGACATAGAGAAGGCGTTCGACAGAGTGTGCCACTCTGGATTACTATACAAACTAGAATCACAAACAAGTACCCCTCCTGCTATGTTGCGGCTAGTGGCGTCATTCCTTAAAGATAGGAAGTTCTACGTCTGTGTAGAGGACGCCGAGTCCGCAGCGAGACCAATCAGAGCCGGCGTACCACAGGGCAGCTGTCTCTCGCCGATCCTGTACGCGGCTTATACCAATGACATCCCCACCCTGGCAGACCATCTGAGCGAATGGGAAGACGATGTTGAATTAGCGCTATACGCGGACGATAGTGCCTACTTCACATCGTCTAGCAGAGCCCACATAGCCACTGCCAGGATGCAGCGCCTGCTGGACCTGCTACCACCATGGCTTGATGAGTGGAAGATGGCCGTCAATGTTGGCAAGACGACCGCTCTACTCACTCGCCGATATAGGAACTTTCCACCACCACTGACGCTCAGGGGCCAGGAGATCGAGTACCAAAAAACAGTAACATACCTGGGATGCCGGATTGACCGGATGCTGCGCATGACCGTGCACGTCGATGTCGCCGTCCGTAACGCCAGATGTGCGCGGGCGGCGCTGCGTCCGGTCCTAACTTCAAAATTACCAATCAGAACTAAACTCAAAATTTACAAAACCTACATTAGATCGAGATTTACTCACGCTGCGCCGGCCTGGTACGCGCTCCTGAGCGATCATCAGAAGCGGCGATTACAGGTCCAGCAGAACCGGGTGACTTCTGCCAAGAGAACTCCTCTCTATAGAGATTAGAGAGTCGAGTAACAACCCTCAATGTCGCAGACAGACCAACCAAGACGCCGGGCCGCATTAGCCGCCCGGCCACATTAACCGGACAAGACAACAAGATCACCTCAAACCGAACTAGGCGTCTTTTTCAGGCTTAGGCCGAACTAGACGCCTTTTTCAGGAAAACAGACCATATTATACCACTTTTTCAGGAGCGGGCCGCATTACCCGCCTCCTGAAAAATTTTTTTTCATGAAGATTTTTAATTCGATTACAGCAACCAGGGAATCAAACCCGAGTCGCTGCTTCATACTCACAACGCCATAACGGCTCCCACGACCGGTGCATAGTGATGCACCGCGAGGAGATCCCGGGCAAAGGGGGCGTGCCCCGAGGCCCGATACCTGCTGTGTGCATAGCATACATGCAGACGATTACGTAGTGGAAATTCGTTCGGGAACAGCTACCAGTTTTATAGTTTAAAGCAAGAAAGAAGACAATAGGGAAGTGATAGGAAAGTAGTAAAAGTTTCAACGTTGCACTCCTAACGGGAAATTACGAAGATAAAGTCGCTGTTTCATTTCCTACTGCACCTTCTAAATAAGTAGAAGATACAGTCCAATAAAGGGACGTCAAGAAGGGGCCCATCCAAAGGGACCCGTAATCTTAGTCGTCTAACCTTTCTTTTTAGCGAAGGTAACAGACGTCCTTGTGTGACACTCCTTCACGGAGGTCACGTCCACCTCGTTGTTCCCGAACCCAACGTGGTGTGATTTCAGTTTAATAGGGTAGAATAACTGATTAACCCCTGTTTGCTGGACCCTTTCACTTGAAGGATTGACGCCGAGCGACGGGCTGCACCCTTTTAAACACTTGCATTAAATTTCGTTATTCAAACTTTAGCAACAACTGTTCAGTTTTATGTTTATGTTTTTAGTTCTTACTCGTCAAATGTTATTTTAATTATTAAAAACAATACAATCTTGAATTACTCGGCTAGGTGAAAAAAATTCACTTCAAATTTTTCTACATAATTAATATTAAAATAAATACAACTTACATTGCCGCTTTCGTCCCCAGCAAAAAGCTTTTGTTCGTACACATACAATGCACCTACGTCACCGCCAGTAGACGGCAATTCCGTTATTTTATTGCCATCTGTTGTCCAGACCCTGACTCCACCATCGTTAGAGGAAGAGTAAACCTTGCCGTCAGATGCTGTTAACGCAAACACTTGGGTTTCATGTGCCGGCCATGTCACACCTGGTGATAGACTTTTGTCGAACGACTGATGGTAAAACACAACAATTAGATACAACTTATTAAAACGCAATTATTTTAGGAATTATACGAGCTTTTTTGAAACTTAGTTTCGGACACAGTAACTGATTTTTACTAGAAAGCGTGAAACGTAGAATAAAATTCATTTATCAACAATAATCGAGAAAAAAATCAAATTAAGTTTTATTGGGAACACATATCTTATAAACAAAAGAGCTTGTTAGAGCTATTGGCCTCTGTCAATGAACTTTAATATTTTAACACGGAAATAGTACCTCATATGGCTAGTATTTACTATATTTAAATTGGTATTTAAACTACATCTATACTCGTAAAAGTGAAAACATTACATTTAAGATAAATTACCAAAATTATTATAAAGAAACTTACGACTATAGAGCCAGTATCTGTGCCAACGAATAATTTATTATTATCCCAAGCAAGGACACATGGTTCAGATTCAACTTTTGCTTCGGCATCTATTTTAAGGACACTCATTTTAAGTAACTAGTTTTTGATGGTAATAGAATTTGTTTTACAGTTATAAAAGAAACAGTCGATATGGCGGATGCGGGAACCTCACTGAGCCTAAAATAGATGAGTCTGGCGCTGTTTTCTTATTTTCTTTAGATTTAGAAACAACATCTAGATGTTTCTGGAATATTTAAATGAATGCAACTTTGACATAAAAAAGAATGCAATAAATATGATATGCATTATTGGTCTGAGACAATAAGTGTTCTGCTTCTTTATAAAACTTAATAATGAAACTTTTCACAAAACATCATTTTAAACTCCATTTTTATCATCCTTTTTTACTTATGTATGTGCACACCAAATGCCACCAAAAATAAATAAAATAAATAAGTAGAACAGTTGTACAACTTAAAATAACCACCACCTTTATCATCCTTTCTTACTTAGGTAAGTAATAAGTAGAATAGTCGTGCAACTTAAAATAAACAAAAAGTTGTATAGCAATTTTTTACTTAAACTTCAACTCGTAGAAAAGGTAATTTCTTTCAGTTAATATTCGTTCTAATCTCAGACTGAAACATGAGCACTGCACCACGATACGAGTAGTAAATGTGCGTTATGTTTATTACAGTATGTACTAATCTACCACAAGAGGCAAAAATAGTTAGCAAAAGAAAAGTCATGAATTGGTTTCTTATAATTATGTTTTAATACGGCTAAAATACAATCAAATGCTTGATGGATTTTGATGGAATATATTAAAATGTATTATTAAACCACAACCCTACGAGTATACAGCAATAAATAATACTATATTTTAAATACTTTTCAAATTATTAATTATATAATTTATTTCTAAGAGTAAATTATTATGTTTACCAAATTCATCTAAATCAGGGTTACCCAACCTTTTTTGACCAGGGACCACTTTGATTTTTTTATAGTTAGCAAGGACCACAAGGTGAAAGAAAAAACTGTGTTAATCTAACAATAAACTGAAGAGAAGCATTCCTTAACAGTATTATTTGTGTATTTATTGTAAAAACTAGTAGGTATTTATTAATGTGACGCGCGGTGTTGCACTGCCCGCGGGACGAGAAAATAATAAATTTGTTATTTAAAATGATTAGTTAGGTAAAATATTAAAATCTTTCGCGGACTATATTTAAGCTTTTTCAGACAACTGGTGGTCCGCGAACCACTGGTTGAGAATCACTGATATAAATTCAATGTCTCAATCGCTGCTTGTACCTATTACATTGCACGGTTGCATTGTCTTCATGTAAGATACTACTCTGCTGCTCCAAATCGTCTATATTTATGATTAAAGTTGCTGTAAAAACAACACACTGTACTTAAATGCCCAAACTTAAACGCACTGCGTGAACGAGAAAGTTGAAGCGCAGAATAGTAAGCGAAGGCACAATGATGCCGTGAGACCTTTGTTGATATTATCACATGAGTAAAGAAACCGTGTATTACAATCTGTACCTTACTGCGGACATGTGGTCACATCGTTTTAATATCTTTGTGGGAAGAAAAACATATTTGTGAATCATACAAATAAATAATTTTATATTTAACATAAATTATCAAAATAGCTTCGGTGTCTGTCCGTCCCGCTGTCACAAGTAATTCATATTAGAATTATTTAATAAATTGATTTAAAGTTTTAGCGTTATGGCCAACATAAGTACTCTATATGTGAAAATATACAAAATCTAATTTTAATTTGTGCATTAATTAAATCAAATAAAAAAAATATGCAATGTTCATTTGAGAAATAAAACTTCATGTGTATGTTCTCAGTACCAGACCCTATTCCTGTCGACAATTAAAATGAGCAAAGACGCTCCATTTTGAAAAGGTACTTATCTGATTTTTTTTAGATTTTTTTAGTGGCAGTACCGTTTGAGGTTTCATTCATTGCTTTGGGAGCACTGTACAGGCTTATTTTGCAACAACAGGCCAAATTTGCAAAGAAGTTTCATAATAAATAATATAGGCAAATAGTGAAGAAAAACTAATTAAAAAAAAATTCTAACATTCCTTCCATTTTATCTTTTAAATTCAAAATGCGTGGTAATGCATTATTTAAACTGATTTTACTGCGCACGAATACATTCGTAAGGGTCGATCGGTAGGCAAAAACGTTGTTCTTCTTCTTAATCTTGTAAAATATCCGAACATTTCCAGACTGGAGTATGTAAATCTAGGTACAAGAAGACAATATTTTAAAATAGTAAGAGCTATGTGGGGGTTTAAAAACTGATCAAATTTTGTTGTGTTTTTAAAACAGATTCAATACTATCGAAAAACAACGGGGCACCTAGCAGGTATAGTGATTCCGTACTGACAGTTTTTATTCCTGGACAAATATGATTAAAATTTTGAATTAAAGTGTCTCTATGAGAAGTAGATAAATTATTGAAAAAAAATATTTCACATTTATTGCTATTTGGTCCAAGACCAATATTTTTAAAATTTCGAAAAATATGAGTAAGATCGCTGAGGACGTCATCTGCTCTACTTCCTAGTGTACCGTCGTCTAGGTACCAGACATTCAGCTTGGACTTCAAATTTGAAATAATGGGTTGAATTCCCAAACTGAAAAGTGCTGGACCCAGTGGGTCACCCTGCTGAACACCGACAGCAGAATCGATAACATGCTTTTCGTAGAACAAGTTAGTATTTTGACTATAATATTGCCAAACGTAATGATAAATTTCGGGGGTATTGTTAGCCACTTCTATCAGCAAGGTTACCCTATCGATAGAGTTAAAAGCATTCCTTAGGTCAACCTTCACAAGAACATCTGCATCAGAGTTTGTTAAAAATGTACGCACTGAATGTACCGCCGCCTCACAGCCACCTCTAGTGCCAAAGCCTAGTTGAGTAAGCTGAAATTTGGTCTTAAGGTTAGAGATTATGTGCCTGCAAGCTAATTTTGAAGTTAAGCGTCGAAATGTGGAACCAACGGCAATAGGACGGATACCGTTATCCTTTTTTTTGAAGGCACATAATCTTGCCCCATATAAGAATGGAATGAAATTTGGATTAATATTACCAGAAAGCATAAAGTTACATAATTTTGTAATGTCTTTAAGAAGTACTCCGCCGGCGTCACCGGCAGAAGCGCTTACAAGATCTTTAAGATGTTGAGGCGTAATTCCGTCAATGCCGCCAGCAGAGCCATTAGAAAATGACATAATTGCTTCTAAAGTGTCTTTTTCTGAAATTTGTAAAGGTTGCATAGAAGTCTTGGGAAGCAGCGGTAAACCCTGAGACGGTTTGACCGAAGGATGCTTTTGACAAAGGCTTTCAAGAGTTTCGACATTACGAGGAGCCAGGATGTCGTCTGAGAATAAAATACGGGATGCATTTTTTAAGTCGCCATCTATTACTTTCGACTCAACTACTTTTTTTAAATCAAATTTAGGACGTGATCGAGATAAATGAGTATTAATTGGCTAATCTAAATTTTGAAAAGATGTCTCTTTTAGTTGAGACGTAATTGATTTATTTATTGTTTTATCAAAATGAAAATGGGAATACGCGAAACTAAATAGTTTTTGCCAACTACTTTCACTATTAGTGAAACAATTTTGAATAATGCATAACAATGCTTTAGCAAGCTGCATCCTCGCACCTTTAGTAATTCTTTTAACCACTGGTACATTACGATAATAATTGTAAATTTGCTCCGAAAAAAGGGAAAAATTTGTGTCATTAGAGGAATTGCTAATAGATTTATGAATTTCTACGGCAGGCTGTGAAGCCGAAATACTTTTACTATGGCATCGTTTAATATGTATATTTAATCCCCTTTTACCTTTAAACAGCCTACCGTCAGCACAATTTTGACACTGTAGGAAATCCGGTTGTGAATGTAGCGGAGCAGAGATATTCATTAAAAAATCTAAACAGATCTCTACAACACTCAAAAGTGTTTATATTACATATTCATACTAACTTGAAATGTGCTGTACCCCGCATCTTTTCCTGAAACAATCATTTACGGCCTAAATAAAAGCACTTTACTCTATAAATGAAATATTATCACATTACTTCCCTGGATTTATTCCATATTGATAAACATTGTATGTAGTCAGTTATAACATAGCCTCATAGGTAAAGAGCCTACACAGCAGCGACCCCGATACATTGCAGCGGCACGAGGCGCAACTCAGCAGAACGTGAGCATTGACGTCAACGGATGCAACCGGAGCTCTGCAATATACCTTTACCTTATTTTTACTGTAATAATTAAAATTCATTCTAGATCTAGCATCGATCTGATTCACTTATATTTTAGTTATAGTAATTATATTGTCATTTTTATATTATAATAAAGTATTTTAAACTAGTTTCGGTTTTTTTTGGGTCCTTCGGCTGCAGTTAACGTAATTGGCGCAGTCGGTAGGATACTCAAAAGTTAGTTAGGCTATCGTAGCTTTCAAGCTTTAAACGAGTATTCGAATCTACTACGGGTCAACTGCAAGCCAAGAGGATACATCAAGACATCGATCCCGAGAAAACCGAGATGAAATTTATGTAAGTACACCAGAATTTTATCTAGTGTTGCTTTCCTTTTCCTAGTGTAAATCTTTCCTGTCAAAATTTTCTATCCAAGGAAATCACCCCACTGTGACCCTACATCGCGTAGGCAGCCACGTAGAGAAAGTATAGACTATAATAGAGATTTAAGTTGTTATTTAGAGTTAGATATAATTACCGAGGAATCAAAAATGGCCCACGACCCTGACACTATTTTCAAAGTTTTACGCCCAGTGCCAGAGTTTGACGGTAATCCTAATGTACTAACTAGGTTTATAAAATTATGTGACCAAATATGTGCTGCATATCTGCAGTGAACTATCGAACTTATGTTTGCTTAACGGTATATTAAATAAAATAACTGGACCCGCCGCGACTACTTTAAATTCAAATGGTATTCCTGAAAGCTGGCATGGCATTCGTACAGCTTTAATCAATAACTTTTCGGACCAAAGAGACGAAACGGCGCTCTATAATGACCTCTCATTAGCTACTCAGGGGAACAGCTCTCCCCAAGAATTTTATGCACGATGTCAGACACTGTTCAGCACTATCATGACGTATGTTACGCTTCATGAAACCTTGCCTACTACAATAGAAGCCAAACGTGTATTATATAAGAATCTAACGAAGCAAGCTTTCGTGCGCGGTTTAAAGGAGCCACTGGGCTCACGAATACGTTGCATGCGTCCTGATACCGTTGAAAAAGCCTTGGAGTTTGTACAGGAAGAACTGAATGTTATGTACTTGCAACAACGCGGTGAACCTTTCGCCGAGAGGAAACCTCAAGCACCTAAGCCTCTCCAACCTAGCTACATGACCTTACCTTTGCGAAAACCATTCAGTTTTCCTGCACCGATACCAATGCCCAATTTACAGCGACCTTTACATGTACCACAGCAGCAAGGTTTTAGGCCTAACGTGCCACCACAGTATAACATGCCTACGAGAACTCAACAAATGTTCCGCGCTTTACCACCTAATTATAAACCCCATAGTAATACGTTTAGATTACCAAATAGGAATCCACCCCATGACTCAGGTCCGAAGCCTATGAGTGGGGTTAGCCATTACGTACCTAAACCAATGCCTCCGACAGGTCTGACCGGTCATGACTGGCGCAAATACGGTAACCCGCCGCCTTCAAATTACTTCAAAAGTAGGGAAATGAATTTTAACGAATTTGCTGATTACGATAGTTACTATTATCCTGAACACCAATACGAATATTACGACTATAATGATAATGACGACTATACGAATACTGTGACCTATGACTATGACGACACACAGCATTACCAATACCATGACGCAACTGAGATAAATGATACAACGCAACAAGATAACATAGACTGCCAACCTTCTACAAGCAGTTCGCCTCAGGATTTTCAAAAGACTCGTTTTTCAAAAAAGCCAAAATAGAAGTTAACTTACATACGCAGAGACAGCTTCCATACATATGTATTTCTAACCCTCCGTTAAAATTTCTAATAGATACCGGAGCGAATTAGTCCTTCATTAATCCGGAAGCTATACAAAAATATTTTTCACATATACCTTTAAATTATGATCCTTTCGAGGTAACGAATGTGCATGCTACAACTAGGAATAATTATTCGATAACTATTCCATGCTTTTCCGAATTCCAAGAGCCTGATAGTATTAAATTATATATTTATAAATTTCACGATTACTTCGATGGCCTTATTGGTCTCGACCTATTAGAAAAATGGGAAGCTAGAATAGATCTAAAGGATAGATTACTTGTAACACGATTAGCTTACAACCCCATCTTAATGTATAACTCTAGAAATGTTAATTTTTACGAGGACGTGATACCATCCCAATCTTCAAAATTAATAAAAGTACCTATTAATGTCCATGACGGAGAAGCCTTAGTTAGCGAACAATACATCTCTAATTGCGTGATAAACGAATGTCTAACATTAGTGTCAAATAACCGCGGTATTATAGAGGTATTTAACCCGACTCCGTACGATATAATTTTCTCCCTAGATCGTCCAATATGTGCTGAGACGTATAACATCGAGTCCTCTCACAACGTTCAACCACTCCCACATTACAAAGAAGTATTATCACGTTTACGCACCGACCATCTAAATGCCGAAGAACGCGCTAATTTAGAAAGATTATGTGCCAAATACGCCGACGTTTTTTATATAGAAGGCGAACAGCTCACATTTACTAATAAAATAAAGCATAGCATCCGGACCACTGATGAGATACCGATATATACTAAAAGCTATCGGTACCCTTACGTTCATAGAGACGAAGTTAAACAACAAATCAGTAAAATGTTAGAGCAAGGTATAATTCGTCCGTCAGAATCTGCATGGAGCTCTCCCATCTGGATAGTTCCTAAAAAGGTTGATGCTTCTGGCAAGACTAAATGGCGACTCGTAGTCGACTTTAGGAAGCTAAATGAAAAAACCATTAGTGATAAATACCCAATACCGAATATATCGGATGTACTAGATAAGTTAGGAAATTGCCAATATTTTACAACCTTGGATTTAGCCAGTGGAATTTACCAGGTCGAAATGAACCCTAGTGACATACCGAAAACAGCATTCAACGTTGAACATGGGCATTTCGAGTTCTTGCGGATGCCCATGGGCCTGAAGAACTCGCCATCCACGTTTCAGCGTGTCATGGATAACGTGCTCCGTGACCTACAAAATACAGTTTGTCTCGTGTACTTAGACGATATTATTGTGTTCAGCACTTCCTTGCAAGAACACATGGTAAATCTTGAGAAAGTATTTCAGAAACTACGGGAATCCAACTTTAAATTACAAATGGATAAATCCGAGTTTCTTAAATTGGAAACCGCTTATTTAGGACATATAATTAGTAAAGATGGCATTAAGCCAAATCCTAGTAAAATATCAGCCATAGAAAAGTATCCATTACCCAAAACCGCAAAAGAGATTAAACAGTTTTTAGGCCTTATAGGTTATTATCGGAAGTTCATCCCAGACTTTGCTCGAACTACTAAACCTCTGACACAATGCCTAAAAAAGGGACGAAAAATAACTCTTGACACAGACTATATTAACTGCTTCGAAAAGTGCAAGACTCTCCTGACTAACGACCCAATCCTTCAATATCCTGACTTCAACAAAGAATTCATCCTGACCACTGACGCATCCAATGTAGCGATAGGAGCCATCCTATCTCAGGGACCCATAGGATCAGACAAACCTGTATGTTACGCTTCTAGAACTCTAAATGAGAGCGAAGTGAACTACAGCACTATAGAGAAAGAACTCCTTGCCATCGTGTGGGCAACCAAGTACTTTAGACCCTACCTATTTGGCCGTACTTTTAAAATCTTAACTGATCATAAACCCCTTCAGTGGGTAATGAATCTTAAGGAACCGAACTCACGACTTACTAGGTGGAAATTAAAATTAAGCGAATACGATTTTTCTGTTATATATAAAAAAGGAAAAAATAACACCAATGCCGATGCGCTTTCCCGGGTGGAAATACATAACGAAGAATCGTGTTCTATGTTAGCTAACCCATCAGTAAGAACAGCCCCTAGCACTGGCTCGACTACTCAAACGGCCCACACAAGCCAAGAAAATCCGATCCTTGAAATTCCTATTACCGACGAACCTCTTAATAAATTCCACAGACAACTAATATTAACAATTGTAGGCGACATAAAAAGACGACCAATAGTGACCAAACCTTTTGATACACATACTCGAACAGCTGTACAGATAAGACAACCGGAAATGGAAGTAGACCTTGTCAACGCCATAAAAGAATACGTTAACCCAAAAGTCAAAACCGGATTATTAATTAAACCCCCTCTTTGCATGTATGACGTCATTCCAATCTTACAAGATAAATTCAGAAGCTCGTCTATGAATCTAGTATTAACTAAAGTTGAGGTCGAAAATATAAAAGAATATTTACAACAACAAGAAATAATAAAGAACTACCACGAAGGTAAAACTAACCATCGCGGTATCAACGAAAGTTTCCTGGCCCTTTCCAAACGATACTATTGGCCCAAAATGAGGGAACACATTACGAAATATATTAATGAATGTACCATATGTGGTCAGGCTAAGTACGATAGGAAACCTCTAAAACCTCAATTCAATATCGTTCCCCCCGCTACCAAACCTTTCGAGATTATCCATATGGACATGTTCACAGTACATAATGAAAAGTACCTCACATTTATAGACGTATTCTCCAAATATGCTCAAGCGTATCATTTAAGAGACGGAACAGCATTGAGCATTTTACAAAGCCTACTTACCTTCTGTACGCATCATGGTCTTCCTCTTTCTATTGTCACCGACAATGGGACCGAATTTACGAACCAGCTATTTACTGAGTTCGTACAATTACACAAAATTAACCATCATAGAACGTTAGCACACTGTCCCAACGACAACGGTAACATAGAGCGGTTCCACTCGACTATACTGGAACATCTGCGAATCCTAAAACTACAAAAGAAAGACGAGCATGTAGTAAATCTAATGCCCTATGCTATCCTAGGATACAATAGTTCTGTACATAGTTTCACTAAATGTAGGCCTTACGATATTGTCAATGGACATTTCAACCCAAGAGACCCAATCGACATCGACTTGACAAAACATTTACTGCAGCAATACATACTAACACACCGAGATCGAATGAAAACAGTGTATGAAATAATTAACGAACATTCTTTCTCCGAACGCTCAGCATTAATAAATAATCGGAATAAATCACGGGAACCAGAGGTTGAATACCAACCAAACCAACAAGTTTTCGTTTCCAACCCCCTAGCTAGCCGACAAAAATTAGCCCCACGTTACATCCATGATCATGTTCTAGCTGACTTACCAATACACATTTACACGTCTAGGAAACGCGGCCCGATAGGGAAGTCTAGACTTAAACGTGTACCTAAAACTGCCGATTTGTTACAGAACTCTAAAATTACTGACTGTACTGACCGTGCTGACGATCGAAGCCCAGGAGATAAAACTTGAATATCTTGAAGACGGACCAGGCCTACTACCATTTAGACTTGGACCAACGACTCTCATAACTCACTATCATACATTTCTTCAATATGTAAAACTTGACGACATCAGAGACAAAGTAACCTTATTGCAGGTACAGCTATAGAACTACAAGAACAGACTTGATAATGACACCAACTTACTGTACGAATTACAAATGGACTATCTTTCTAGCAAACTAGACAAAGTATTATTACAACTAAATAGCTTAGAGCCTAGTCGCACTAAGAGAGGTCTAGTAGACGGATTAGGCTCAGTGATCAAAAGCGTAACCGGTAATCTAGATTATTTAGATGCCGCGAAATATAATAATGCCATAAAAGTTTTAAAGGATAACCAAGATAGGATCGAATCTGAATTCAATAGTCACATTAGCATTAGTAAAGAGTGGATGTTACAACATAATAGTGTGATATCCCAGATAATTGAAAACGAGAACAAAATTAACTCAACGCTTATCCAATTACTAGATAGAGCCGCTTATAGAGATAGTAGCCTCATCAAGTATGCTAAGTTTGCCCAACTACTCACAATCTTAACAGAAAATATCGATGATATGCTCAATGAGCTTAATAGGATAGAAAATATATTAGCATTTAGTCGTGCATCGAGCACCCACCATTCTACGTTAAGTGTTAAGGTAATTAAGTCTATGTTAGTAAGATTAAGACAAATTTATGATAAGGAACATGTATTAAATTTAGAGACTAGAGAATATTACGATATCATTAAGTCAGGTTATTATTTTACAGAAAATCAAATAGTAATTGTTCTAAAATTCCCTGTTATTTCCAAAGACACCTTCGACCTATTCCGCTTATCCATTGTACCTAACAAAAACCACCAATCTATTATTCCACCCTATCCTTTAATAGCAACTAATAGAGAAAAATTCGTGTACATGGAGACAGAATGTCCGAAGTTGAGTAATCGGTACCTATGCGAAAAGGAAACGAACACCCAAATTCGAACACAATCCGACTGTATCCAGAACCTCATCATCAATCAGTCTATAGCGACATCCTGTAAGATAACCGACATTGCACTATCAAAAGAAGCCATGGAACGTCTTGACGACAAGCACTACACCATTTCTTTCCCTCAACCAACTAAAGTCCATACAGTATGCGGGCGTGAAGATATTACTACATTACAGGGTAGTTACTTAGCCACAATACCAATTAATTGCTTCCTGCGAACACAAGAATTCACCATCACCAATATTAACGATCAAGTAGAAGGCCATCCACTGAAACTAATGAAAATACCAATGGATATAAACGCAAAAAGCAACCCAGCAGTACCACGAATCAGCCTTAATACAATTAACCTGAAAGGACTCCACGCAGCCCAGGACCAACTCATGATGCAACCACCACTTCATCTGAGAGAGATGGATCTCCCAACTTTATATCACACCACAATTCCCTTTTACGCCGTGTTATCAAGCATTGCAATATTCGCTATCATAATCTCAGTTCGTTACTACTACAAGACTAAAAAGCAAGAACAGATCCAGAATAACACCCAACATAGCTATGAAAAGCCCGAAGAATCCGAAGTCAAAAAGGCATTACCAGCAACTTTTTCTCTCAAGGTTCTAAAATAGTTGCTGATCTGAGGGTGGAGGAGTTATAACATAGCCTCATAGGTAAAGAGCCTACACAGCAGCGACCCCGATACATTGCAGCGGCACGAGGCGCAACTCAGCAGAACGTGAGCATTGACGTTAACGGATGCAACCGGAGCTCTGCAATATACCTTTACCTTATTTTTACTGTAATAATTAAAATTCATTCTAGATCTAGCATCGATCTGATTCACTTATATTTTAGTTATAGTAATTATATTGTAATTTTTATATTATAATAAAGTATTTTAAACTAGTTTCGGTTTTTTTTGGGTCCTTCGGCTGCAGTTAACTTAATTAGTCGTTACGCTTTGACAGTTGTCAACGGCGCAGCAGAAATATTTTCCATTATTAATTAGTATTATGTCTGAAATCAAAAAAATATTATTATAACAACTCTCTTATATCTTTTCTAATCTTTTTGTTGAAATTGGTAAGCCAGAATTGGCCCCGTTGGTGTGGAATGCAGCGCGCAAAGCGGCGATGGGGACCGCCACCCGTCACGCACGGCCCGACACGGCGGAAGGTGGAGGACAGAGTGCAGAGTTGGCACGTGGAATGTTAGAGGAGGCATGAGAGATAAGACGAATGAGCTGATCGAAATAATGAAAGAAAGAGAATTAGATGTCGTGTGTATGTCGGAGACCAAACGGAAGGGCATTGGTATTGAAGAGCTCCCTGGCGGGACGTTAGCTCTATGGTCCGGAGTCCCGGAGAGCGAGAGCGCCTGCCAAGGAGTGGGGGTGCTGCTGTCGTCTCGGTTGGTCGATGTTATGACTGAATATAAAGTTGTGAACTCAAGACTTCTCTGGGTTCGCTTTAAATTGGGACTGACGAAGTTATTCCTTTTGGCTGTTTATGCGCCGGTAGCTTCGTCGTCCAGGGCTGAGCTGGAACAGTTTTGGGAGAATGTAAGAGAAGTTCTAGATTTGGTTAGGGGAAACGAAAGAATTGTTGTATGTGGTGATTTGAATGGATGGGTTGGTACCGCTCGACCAGGGTACGAGTCGGTGCTTGGAAAGTTTGGCGATAAAAGGGTTAATGATGCTGGCAAGCTTATACTGGCTGTATGCAAGGAAAAGGGTCTTCTTGTGACAAACACTATGTTTAATCACAAAAAAATCCATATGTATACTAGAGAAAGAAAGAATGAGAGAAATATGATCGATTTGTTCCTGGTGGATGACCGACTGCGAAAACAGGTGATGGATACGCGAGTGTTCAGGGGTGCTGACCTGGGAACGGATCACTATCTAGTGATTACTAGATTTAGGGGTCTGTTCGCGGGCTGGCGCTACCGGGCGGCAGTAACAGAACCACAGTCGGTCTGTCGCATCCGAAGCTGGAAGCTTCAGGAAGCGGATACTAGGGACAAATGTCATGCGAGGGTAGCCGAAAAGCTTGACACCATCGATAGCAGAAAAGAATGTGTAAAAAGAACATGGCAGAACCTTAGGGAGGGAATGGTAAGTGCAGCGGAAGAAGTGTGTGGAACAATAAAAAGAGATAGTAGTAAAAGAAGAGATGCATGGTGGAATTATGAAGTGAAAGAAGTTGTAAAGAAGAAGAAGAAAGCACGGTTAGACTAATTGGCCTCTAGTAATGATAAGGATATGAGAGAGAAGATGAAAGAAAGATATAAGCTGCAGAAAGTTCATACGAAAACATTGATTGAGGAAGTGCGTGAAAGGTGTAGAATGGAAGCGGACGAAAGGTTGTCGCACAACTTTAAGGAGAACTCCAAACTCTTCTGGAAAGAGGTTGGAAGGACCCGAAATGGTGCGACGGCCTTTAGAATGAACAAAGTGCTTTCGAGAACCAATGACGTCCTCTCAGAAAAATCGGACGTCATGCAGCGATGGAGCGAATTTTATAGAGAAATGTATGCGTGTGATGATCTTAGTGAGGGATCCGGGGATGACGCCGTGACTGATACGCCAGACCCGGACCTCGATGACATTGAGGTCATCAGTATGAAAGAGATTAAACGTGCGATTTGAAGTTTGAAATGTGTTAAGGCTGCGGGACTAGACAGAGTTACTGCTGAAATGGTCAAGTATGGTGGGCCTCGCGTCTAGGACAGCTTTCATCTGCTGTGCAATTTGTGCTGGCGGACGGGGGTGGTCCCGGATGATTGGCGATCCGCGGTCATTGTGCCTTTATATAAAGGTAAAGGTTCACATTTTGACTGCGGGTGCTATCGGGCGATCAGCTTGACCAGTTTAGCAAGTAAAGTTTACTCGAAGGTTTTGACACGTAGGATGCAAGAGAAATCGGAAAGATTTCTATGAGAGGCACAATGCGGATTTAGACCTGGAAGAGGATGCACGGATCAAATGTTTTCTCTCCGCATGATCACGGAGAAGCTTCTGGCTGCTAACCAGAAGATTTTCTGTGCGTTTGTAGATCTTGAGAAAGCATTTGATAAGGTTGTAAGGAAGAAAATGTGGGAACTGTTGCCGGAGTATAGTGTGGATGGTCGATTGCAAAGGGATGTGCAGTCACTTTACTGTGACTATAAAGCCTGTGTGCGGGTAGGGCATGACCTGTCACCCATGTTTAGCGTCCAAACGGGCGTAAAACAGGGTTGTATCATGTCTTCCTGGCTGTTCATACTGTATCTCGACAGCTGTTTACAGAAGCTGAAAGATAGCTGTTTGGGTGTGAAATTGGGTGACATTAAAGTAAATTGTCTGCTGCATGCTGATGGTGCAATGCTTATTGCACCATTAGAGGCAGAACTGTGGGCATTAGTTACGTGTATGAAAGAGGAATGTGAAATTAAAGGTCTCCGTTTGAATGCTAATAAAACAAAGGTTCTGGTATTTGAAAGGGACGAAGAGAGAATGAAGTGTGAAATATGGGTAAATCAGGAATGTCTAGAACAGGTAAATGAAATTGTATACTTGGGGAGTGTTTTCAGCCGAGATGGAAGATGTGATTTAGATGTGGACAGGCGTGTCGCTGCCGGGAACAAAGTCAATGGTGCCCTGACTGCGTTAGTCAAAAGGCAAGGCGTAGTGAAGAGTGCACGCCTCGCAATACATAACGCAGTGTTGATACCGACTTTGTTATATGGCAGCGAAACCTGGATATGGCAGAAGAAGCATAAAAGTAAGTTGAATGCAGTGGAGATGCGATCTCTTCGTAAAATGTGCGGCGTTACCATGGCCAACCGAAAGCGAAACGAAGAGATTCGCAATATGGCAGGTTTGAAAGATGACCTTATCACAAAAATTGATAAGGGCGTGCTTCGATGGTTTGGGCACGTTGAGCGAATGAGTGAAGACCGAATGGTGAAGAAAATATATAGCGCGAAGTAAACATTAAAAGGTGTCGAGGTAGACCGAGACTAACTTTCGAAGACCATGTGAGCAAATTTCTCGAAGAGGGGAGGGTCAAGAGTATTCGGATACCTAGTCGTGCATGTATGAAGAAGATAATGAATCTTAAAGAAGCGAAAGAGGTATGTAAGGATCGTGACACTTGGCGATCTGTTCTCTCTGGCTACCCCGTCAGGGATTGTGCATGAAGATAAGTAAGTAAGGAAGTAATTTAGTAACGAAACTAATACTAATAAAATATTAGTTTTATAATTCATATAAATAACATTTAAAAAATAATTGTTCTGAGCATTCTTAACTATGGTTGGTGTTCACTCTGGCGGTAGCCTAGTTACTAATCTTCACGCACAATCCCTGATGTGGTAACGTCAGGGATTGTCCGTGAAGATAAGTAAGTAAGTAAGAATTGGCCTCCAAATAACAAAATAAAATAATATAAATATACGTAGCTTTTGAGAGTGAAAAGTTTTGACATATATCAATTAAAAATTAAATTTTATTAAAATTTGGCTACTCTTTGAAAAATAACCGTGTATAAATACTTTATTGAATGACTTGGCAACATATAACGCACGCACCCTGAGGACAGACGAGAAGATCCTGGAGCTGGGAGAAAGAGATAGACGAGTTGTTCTGGAATATTATAGGACTATCCGAGGTCCGAAGAGAGGGGGAGGACACGGTAATCCACGAATCCGGAAAACTGTTCTATCACCGGGAGGGCGACCATCTGTCCCAAGGAGGTGTCGGATTTATCGTCTACATGTCTCTCGTTAACAATGTTGTATAAAGATTGGGAGTGTGTCGACGAGGGTTGCGTACCTTATACTCAGAATCACCAAACGGTATTCGCTGAAGGTCATACAGGTTTACGCACCAACCTCGGCACATCTCGATGAGGAGGTGTGGGAAACATATGAGGATATATCTAGAACCATGCATTCGTCCAAACCTCACTATACCGTGTTAATGGGAGATTTCAACGCAAAACTGAGAAAGACTGTTGCAAAGAAGAACACAGAAATAACTGCACAAGAGAGAACGGTGAGCTGAAGCTAGGGAAAATTAGAATAGAGCAACGGAACCCAAGGGGCCAGGAGCTGGCCGATTTCATCGAGAAGGAGGGACTGTTTGTGATTATATATTTCTTCCAGAAGCGTCCCCACAGGAAGTGGACCTGGTCGAGCCCTGACGGTTCCACAAAAAATGAGTTGGACTTCATTATGACTACTAGACGGCAACTGTGAATCGAATGAAGTCAACGCACTGTCCCCCTCGTGCTCTAATCCAAAGTCCAGAAAACTTTCAGTTCGAGTTATAAAATCGTTTCCAGTGCCTAGAAGACTGCAATGCAGTGGACGATATGAATGAGAAGCTCGTGGAAACTGTCCATGCGGTCCGAGCTAAGTTCTGCAAGACCCGCCGCAAAAGAACACAAAAACTCTCCGATCACACTCTTAATCTCATGGCTGTTAGACGGAAAATGAAGCTGCAGTTTTCAGCAGATTTGCTAGCATACAGGCAACTGCACACATCTCACAGATCTCACAATGCATACAGCGGTACTTACGCAACTTTGATACTGCTCGTATTGAAGAAGCGAGCGAGCGGAACCAGGACTCCACAGTCTTTGCCAGAGGTCTGTCTGCCAGAAAGAGCCAACTGTCGAAGCTGAAGACCGAATGTGGCAGCGTCATTTCCGGGACACCTGAGATTTTGAGTGAGATTGAGAAGTTCTATGGTTATCGTTGGAGTCACAAGCAAGTGTAAGTAACGATCCAAGAGCAAGTCTTATCCGACACTATTCCGATGATATCCCGGACGTCAGTCTGAGCGAGATTAGAATGGTTTTCCAGCAACTTAAAAACGGCAAGTCCCCGGGCCAGGATGGAATTACAGCGGAGCTTCTGAAAGTCCTTCAGAAGCTCTTTAATTCTAACCTCCATGATGGCACTACCCCGGAGGTATGGAGCAGAAGTGCGGTGGTCTTGTTCTTCAAGATTTTTTTTAAAACGTTACCCCCACACTAGGATTTTCTCCTGTATCGTGAAGGCAGCTTACAAACTTACATTGCACGAGGACAAACATCTAGAACCGGAACAATTATTTGTAGGCCATACAAATACTTGTTTCGTGCGGGATTCTACACGCGGCCCCCTGCGCAACAACTCATTGCTAAGCCACTTAGCAAAGGTGATAATGCTCTCTTGAAGAACTACAGACCGATTTCCCTTCTGAGCCAAATCTACGTGCTGTTTTCGAGAGTCATTACGAATCGTCTCGCACGCAGACTCAACGACTTCCAGCCTCCCAAACAAGCCGGTTTCCGAAAAGGCTTTAGCACCATAGACCACATACACACCCTTCGGTTAATTTTACAGAAGACCGAGGAGTACAATTTGCCACTATGTCTTGCATATGTTGACTATGAGCAAGCCTTTGATTCTATCGAAATTTGGGCGGTTCTGCAGTCCCTTCTGCGGTGCCAAGTTGACTGTCAGTATATAGAAGTGCTGAAGTGTTTGTACAGTAGGGCTACGATGGCTATCTGAGTATAGAACTAGAGTACGAAACCTACAACTGCAGAGAGGTGTAAGACGGGGTGACGTAATATGCCCGAAACTCTTCACCGCTGTATTGGACTGGAAAGGATACGGTATTAACACCAATGGCGAGTACATCACTCACCTTCGATTTTGCGACGATATAGTCCTTATGGCAGAATCGCTGGAGAACCTAAGCGCTATGCTCAATGACCTCAATAGCCTCCCAACGGATAGGTCTTAAGATGAACATGGACAAAACAAAGATCATGTATAAAGTCCATGTCACACCGATACCGGTAGTTGTTGGGAGCACTAAGCTCGAAGTTGTTGACGAGTATGTTTACCTGGGACAAATAGTCCGACTATGTAAGTCCAACTTCAACCGAGAGGTCAATCCACGGATTCAACTCAGGTGGGCAGCAGGGAAGTCACTTACAGGGAAAAAAATAATAATGTTTACCAAAATAAATCGATTAGACAAAGTATAAAATCGTTATTGGCTGACATTTGTCCTTTGTCTATCGAGGGTTAAAACATGAAAAACGCCTTTAAATTTTTAATAGCAATAAAACTTATAAACGTTGAAAATAGTTTTATTAACAAAGTACGGAACCAGTTGATGTAATTCTGAAGCTAATAAAAAAACCCTGTCTCGATACGTCAATTTTTTCGGGAGTTATCATGACCACATACAAAATCAGAGTGCACACATCCAGAGGTCCACGTAAAAAAAATTCCAAACCGTTTTTTTTTTTTAAAGTAGCAATATAAAATTTTTTTTTCGAAAATATAAGATTGATTAATTAGTGTTTCCTTGATATACGGCTACTCATATTATAGTATAAGTGCAATGTGGTTATGATAGACGCCTTTTAAGAACACATAATTGTTTGTCCTTGACGTGTTGAGAATAAAGCACTACATAATAATGCTTCGCGTTATGAGGCATGATCACCATCTTCAAGTACTATTATTTATTGATAGGCAACAGTAAGAATTAAACGATTACAAAAATATTAATTTGCTAACAGAAACAGAAACTTTTATATTCAATATAGATTATAAATAATACTTATTGAAAGTCACCCTTTTGTTTAATTACCACTGGTTCGAAAAAAACCTCTGTCATGGGAAGAACCAGCCAGAAACCCAGTGGGACTTTTGTTTTTAAATAACAGCTTACAATCATGTATGTTACACAATTAACAACAACAAATTAGAAATAGCTTGGTAGCGATCACCTCATTTCCAGGGGTTATTATCATCCATAAAGTCTATAATATTATAAGAACCCTTTTTATACAAAATTAGCTTAATAAAGTTTTTGAAATTTAAGCAGGTCAAATTTTGTATGTTTCTGGAATTTTGTTGTAAAAGCGTATATATCGCCCCAAGCATGAATTACTGACTCGATGGAGTCGATAACTGGTACTGCTAGCTTGTTGTGTCTGTTCCTAGTATTTACAGAATGAATATCACTTATTTTTGTAAAACTACTTTTATTTTTGTGTACGTACATTACATTTTCATAAATGTATTGAGAGGCCAAAGTTAATAAATTAATTTCCTTAAATTTTTGTAGCATTGACTCTTTAGGCTTTAAATCATAAATTGCTCTTATGGCCCTCTTCTGTAAAACAAATAAAATTTCAGTGCCAGCTGGGTGACGACATAGCAAAATACCATACGACATTATGCTATGGAAATAGCTAAAGTAAACTAGTCTAATTGTTTCAACACTGATAATCTTTTTTACAGCATATGCTGCAGAACTAAGTCTGCTTGCTAATTTTGATATATGGATCTCCATTGAAGCTTGACATCTAATGTGATACCACGAAAAATGGTGGTATCTAAAAAGACTCAGTTTCTCCCCGTTTAAAATTACATTAGTATTTAATTGTTTGACATTTGGTGTCATAAAATTTTACATTTGGTTTTAGTGCCATTTAAATGCAAATTATTAACATTGAAACAATTTACTAATTTAGATATAGCATTATTTACTTCGTCATATTTTAGTAATTGTCATCTTAATTTGAAAATTAAAGAAGTGTCATCAGCAAATAGTACTATATCCTCGTAAGGCCCAGCGCGAAAATTAACTGCTTCTCATTTCAGCCCACAGTCCCCTTTATGGTACTTTTTTTTTATAGTGGTTCAGGCCCAGCACTAAATTTGTAATTTTTTTACAGTACGATAGTTTTATAGCAATATATGTTTAAGGGTGTATAATTTATGATATTTAGAAGCCCTGCACATATGTTTGGTTTCAATTGAATAAGTCCCACCTAAGGTACCATGGGTCGCAATGTAGTGTGGATTTTTTTTCGTGTACCAGAATTTGCATAAGTGAAATAAGCATGTTTTTGCATATTTTTCATTTATAAAGATTTTACTTAAACAAAATAAAACAATAAATGTTATTTTTAAGTGAAACGTAATGTACTTTAAAAAGTATCTTCAACTTTTGAAAGTAAACAAGAATTAGAAATCTTTCATTTTAGTTATTTAAAGTTTTTTAGGAAAAAATTGAACACTAGGCAGTCAATCAACTATCAGCCTAAAAACATTAATACAAAAAATCTTTAAACTCTCTTCATATAAACTTAAACTTCAATCTCTTTATCTCTTAAATAAACAATAGGACATCTTGGCATTAATAATAGTATAGTATAGAAAGTTCTTAAGCAACATCTAATAAAAGAATATCTAAAGAAAAAATTTAAGGCTTACTTAAACAATAATCAAAACAAGGTACATTATAATCAGTCTTTATTAATAGTAAGTCTTTATAAATGAAATGTAATTTATCTTAGAAGTATAAAATTAAAAAAGAAATTAGGAGTGGAAATCTTTGAAACAATTTCTTTCTTTTCGTAAACATAAATAGATGTTACACTTCGTGCATTTTACGGTGGTCTTCATTATATGGCAGTGTCTACATTTGTTTCGAGTATCCATCATTTGCGGCATATGTCGGGCTCTTCTGGTCCTTTTTTCAGGTGGAGGGAGGTCCACAGTTGCAGGTCTTCCTCTCTTTTTTTTTGGTTTTTCATCTTTATCTGTTTCTGACTCTGTCTCTGTTTGAGTTTCAGATCCTGACGTTTCTGTGTATTTCTCAATCCAATTTTCTCCTAATTCCAGCTTGAAGTCACGAAGATGCTGTATTTTTTTAACAGGAATGGCCTCTGCGAGTTTATCTTTTTTATATAGAATCCAAGCATTAGAAGCAGCCAGGTCAATTAAATGTGAAAACACCCGTTGTGTGCACTTTTTGGTACGATAACGGTATGGATACATCGAGAGCATTCGGTCTGCAAGGTCTACACCACCCATGTTGTGGTTATAGGCTTGAACAACCTTGGGTCTTTCTATTTGAATATATCGTCGCTCTGATTTTTGCCATCTGGCACATGTATCTGTTGGGTCTTTAGCGTACATCGTTGATAACATAGTAACTCTTTTATTATCGTACCATTTTGTTATGGCCATATTTTCTGAAGTGTTCACCAATACTTGACATGAACCGCGACCTTCTCTTTTCATTTCACGGTCTTCTTTAATCGTCTCTCTAGCTGCAATTGGGATCCTATTTTTCATTATCGTTCCGGTACATAGAATATCTCTTTCTTTCAGCTCTCGTGCAAGCCTCGGGGTCATAAAGTAACGGTCGAAGTAAAGTTTGTGACCAGCAGACAAAAGATCGCCAACTAAATTCAACACGGCTTTCTCCCCTAAACCAAGGGTAGTATTATCATATCGAGGATATGTTGTTACTCCTTGATATACATCAAAATTGCATACTAATCCATTGGCATTTGTCAAAACAGACCAGTAGGATTTGGCTTTCCTGGTACGAATTGTTTTATGCCACATTGTCCTGTAAAAGGAATGATCATCTCATCAATGCACATATTTTGGTCTTTTTGTTGTAATTTGCATGTTTTTAGAATAGTATCTAACAGTGGTCGTATTTTCCAAACTTTATCTTTGTCACGTTGTTCACGTCCAATATCGTCATCGAAAATAAACTTGATCGAATTTCTTAACAGAAAAAAACGGTTCCGGGACATACTGTTTGCTACTATTGGGACTCTGTACTTTTTTTCCCAGTACATACGCAGTCTTGGTAATCCAATAGCACCCATAGCTAACGAGATGCCAATGTATACATACAGCTCTGACTCAGTCAAATTAATAAATACATACTGATCATAAAAATATGCAGCTAAAATAGACCATACTACTTGAGGCCCGGAGTGGCACTAGCGGGACTATTTTTTTCGGACAGTCAGATTAACTACAAATACTGCTTTAAATATCAAATAAATAACTTGCAAAGACTAGTAATAAATGTTTTCTCAGTTTTAATCCAAAATTCTTCTGAAATACAGAGGATTACATTAATATAAGTGGATTTAACTAACCTCGACCTCATGGAGCTGCCATTGTGCCAGTTCAAAGACAATGTGTCAATAGAAAACAAAAAAAATCAGCCAATCTCCGATCACTAGTTGACAGCCATAGTTTTCGTTCAGAAATTTTTAGTAGTCACTTGTCAAAGGCGCCAAATTAGAAATCACTATGACGCATAATTGAATAAGTCCCCTACACGACACCTTGGGTAGCTACGAGTATCTATATTTTTTTGGAGCTGGGCTTGAATGTCTATATTAATTAGTATCTTGGACGACCCCATGGGCCTTACGAGGATATCATGGGTATCCCCTACTATGTAAGGTAAGTCATTAATGTATACAGAAAGAACAGAAAGGGACCGAGAAGTGCGCCTTGAGGCACGCCCATTTATACTATCAACCCGGAAGAGCTCATATTGTTAATGACAACTTTTTTCTCAACTTTAAATAATATAGGTACTAAAAATTGATAATATCTTCCTAAAATATGTCAAATTAATTATCTTTATGAAAGTAACTAACCTCAATAGTTAAATTCTATCTGCTTGGAACAAAAATACCTCGAATAATTTAGATTAACGGTTATAATGAAGACAATTATCGGAAAGCCCAGGAAGGAAGCTTCGAAAGAAACGCTTTGTGCCAAACCCGATCGCAGGCCTTCGCAATGTTCTGTAGTTGGATGGGTCTGAACGATAGCCTTTTTTAGGGGTCGGATGCACCAAAAATGTCTTCATTATTATTTTCATTATAGGTATTTTTGTTTTTTTGTTTGTTTAAACGCGCTAATCTCTGGAACTATCAGTCCGATTTGAAAAAATCTTTTTGTATATTATAGCCAGATTCATGTGGAATAGTATAGGCTATCTAGAATTAAGGTATATCACTCAGCTAGCCTTAAATATAGATATTTGTTAAGCAAGTCAGTAGAAAAAGCACCCCAGAAATGATTTATCCGCGTACTCTGGTGTAATCGTTAGGGATACGTAAATGTATTTACGTATCCCTAACGATTCATATATCTATAGATATATTGTAATATAATGTATAGATACATTGTAATGTTCTAGAAAAGTATAGACCTTTACTCCGTCTAAAAAAAAGTCCACGATACCATATGTCTATTTCTTATACATAAGCCATAATTTGGTATTTTGTGACAAAAAAATATTGAAAATTTAAAAGTGATTTATGAGCGTTATTATTAGCCACCATAGCCTATTTATCCTTACGAACGAAAGTTACTTCATCATAAAGACAATTTTATGAAGATAAACTTTGTTCTTTTGTACCATGTTATTTGGACGCATAGTTTAAGAGATAATGTAAAATTAAAATAATTCAATACTTGGCTGGACGCGCGAACGACTCCAGCCGTTATAAAATGCTTAAACTAGGTCATGTCGCGCACCTCGGCCACGTGATGACGCGGGTGAAACCGCGGGGCACAGCTAGTTATTAATAATATTGTAAAAAATATCAACAAGTCAACAATCAAATAGTATTAGGAAAAACGTGTCAAATTATCCATGAAGCCAAATCCATGGGGTTACTGCAAGGGTAGTGGTTGCGCGATCACTAAATCGCCTATCTAGCGTGGCGCGGAGTGGACTTAAAAATACTCATGTTGAATTCATGATAAGATTCTTCGTGTTAAATCTAAAGAAGCGAAATTTGAGAAAAATTCCTAAAATTGGACAAATCTCAAAAGAAAAAAAAATGTTGTCAGTTAGACTTCTTTCTTACTTGCGAAGATTGATTAAATTGACACATTGATAAAATACATTTTCCGGTTTTGGCCGCATTTAATTTTAACCTTTTTTTTTTTTTGCAAATGCCATTCAATTTTTTTTAAGTTTACCTATGTAACTGATAAAATAGCATCAACTGGAGTTCCTGAGATCATACCATGTTTTGTTAATTTTTAAAAATATTACATTCTAATAAGGTTTCTTTTCTCTACCTACAATTTAGGGAATATTTTTCTGCTTTTTTTATGTGTGTTACCTCATAGCTTTTTACAGGGTAAACCAATTTCAATGATTCTTTTTTATTTGAAAGCTGGTGCTTCACATGTGGTCCCATATAAATTTGATCAAGATCTGACCAATAGTTTTTGAGTTATTCTTAATAATTTATACTGAAGTCGGTTGTACAAAATTTTTAATTTTAACTTATTAATATTTCTATAGGAAGAATAATGTTTAATGGGATCTATTTTTTCTACAAATACAATTCTGTATGATCGTTGAAAGGTTTGGTTGTTTGTTTTGTTCCCGTTATTAGTGACGTTTGTCCTCCCCATATTAAAAAATTGAGCTTAATTCGAAAACTAGTAACTTGCTATATCAAGCCGAATTCAATCTTATAGATGTTAAATACAAAATAGTAACGCCTTATTTATTTAAGCGATTCCTCAGCGCAGCATTACTTCACTTATTGCTGTGTACAATTCCACAATATTAAGAATTATAATTCTAGTATTCCTAGCAGTTCTGCAATGGGGTCAAATATAATTGATAAACAATGTTTATTTTGTTGTAATTTTATTTCTTGTGTGTATCTTGATAAGATTTTCACCATATTTTTGGCCTTATGACATTAGAACATCACTACAATAAAGCATAATATAGTAGTTTACAAAGTTGATGTACTCGTAGATAATGAACGGCACGTTCGGCAGAATCCCGTTATGTCAGTGGTCTTCTAACTTTTTTTGGCGACGAAATCCTTTTAAAACATAAGTATTTTATGAAACTTTTAACTATATAATAATATAGCTACATAAGTACGAGATAGTAATAAATAAAATGCTTTGTAAGGGGAGTTATATTCTTATACATACTTGTAATTTTTAATCGTCATTTAAATCGTAGAAATGCTAATATTATTTCAACTTTATGTTATCTGCCGTAAAACCTAGTGTTTTGACACTACTACTTTCTACGCCAACAGTGGTGTAAAGTTCATCGTTACGTACTTCAAGTATGTGACTGAAAATTTTTGCAGCAGCAAATATTTCCCAAAAGCCACCAAACGTGTGGGGTTTTCCAAAATCTACCTAATTTCAGATTTATACGTATATATTATATACTTCCAGGTTTGGGCGGTGCATTGATAGATAAGTCAGACGTTGCGTTGATTCAGGACATCTTCTTTTATAATATAGGACATTGTATGGCAGTTTAACAGCGGTAGAGCCTGGGTAATACCACTCACATACTCATAGAATACTGGTGAGTGCAGGCGCAATCCCCCCCCCCCCCCCAATCAACATGGTAGCGGAATTATATAATTAAATGTAATAATTAAATGTAAGACTACCCCAGGAGGGTACCAGCACTATAATAACTGCTCGAGGCAAATTGAGCAATAAGACCAAGGTGACTCTTGCCACGCTATCCGTGATTTTCTACAACATCGGGGGATGTTAAATCTTAACGCCGTCCACTACAATCTTGATACGGCGAAGCCGAAGGCGAAGGAATTTGCGTATACGTCAGATAGGACATCTGTTCTTGACGCCTCGGCAGTCTTGAAGGTTTGAACCTGTCAAACCTTTGGCTACGCCTAGACAGCAGCGACCATCTGCGCGTCTACGGGTGCCCCTATAGGTGCCATAACGGTAATGCCGAAACAGACCGACTCATCGAGTACGTGGAAATGACTACAGATTCCTTGCTACAACAGGTCCCATCCACAGAGATCGTGATCCTTGTTGATTTTAACGCACACCACGCCGAATGACTCGGTTCACGTATAACCGATCATGCAGGGAGATCTGTTCATGATTTTGCCTTGGCATATGGTCTGACACAACTGGTTACTTCGCCTATGCGGATTCCAGATGTGGAGGATAATGCACCTTCCTCGTTGGACATTCTGCTGACCTCTCATCTGGACAGATATCAAGGAATCTCAGCCGACGCCCCCTTGGGCGTCTCACTCACGCTGAAATCGCGGTTGCTGCCGCCGTGTTTGGCACTATAGGTCGGCCGATTAGGATGGGATGCGGTATTTCTTTGCATCCTACTCTTGGGGGCGGGTATGCTTCTCACCGGACGATCCCAACGTTATTGCTTATTCTGTTGCTGATGTGGTACTTCAGGGTATGGAACTTTTCATTCCTTCCTCCGGAGGAAGGTCTCAGCCATGGTTTAGTCGCTCCTGTAAAATAGCATCACGCTACAAGCAGGAGTGCTACCGGGCCTGGGCTGACGCATCAACGTCCCGGGATATAAACACCAGCGCCATTAAGAAGAAGTATAATTCCGCCTCCAAGTCCTTCAAAAGAGTCATTGCCGCAGCAAAGTCAGAGCACATAGGCAGAATTGGCGAGAAGCTGGTTCATCTTCCTTCGGGAACCCGTTGATTTCCTGTCTGTCATCAAGGCTGTCCAAGGGAACTTCTGTCAGTCATTTCTTCCATTTCTGCACAGGGAGGACGACTCACTGGCCCATGCCGCAAAAGAGAAATCTGATCTGGTTGGCTCTTTCTTTGCGTCCAACTCTACTCTCGATGAGGGGGAGAACACAGTGCCGATCATCCCGCTGTGTGAGTGCTCCCTGCCGGATGTGCGTTTCACACAGCGCTCGGTTCGCAAAGAACTCCTCTCCCTGGACATCCACAAGTCGAGTGGGCCTGACGGAACCCCCCCCCCCCCCCCCCCCAATTGTACTGAGGACGTGTGCTCCGAAGTTGTCTATTCCAGTACTCCTACTCCCTAGGCGTAGTCCCGAAATCATGAAAGAGGGCTTTTGTCCATCCTATCCCTAAAAAAGGTACCGCTCAGATCCGTCTAACTACAGGCCCATCGCCATCACCTCCTTGTTCTCTAAAATAATGGAATCCATTATAAACTGCCAGCTCATGCGGTACCTTCAGGATCACCAGCTGATTAGTGACCGCCAATACGGTTTTCGTCGGGGTTGATCAGCTGGTGATCTTCTGGTCTACCTGACCCATAGATGGGCGGAGGCAGTAGAGTCCAAGGGGAAGGCATTAGGAGGCATTCAAATGTTTTTTCTTGTCACTTGTATGGACTCAGTCTGAAATAAATTTTATTTTATTAGCTATGCGAATGACAACACTGGTGATGTTCTATACTCCGGCCGTGCCGATATTTCTCGGGAAAACGTCGCTAATTACCGGAAAAAACTTATGCCTGAAGTCGAGTCTTTACTGAACAAAGTCTCGGATTGGGGGCGACTAAATCTAGTCCACTTTAATCCTAAGAAGACACAAGGTTGCGCGTTTACCGCTAAAAAGAACCCTTTTGTCATATCTCCTCAGTTTCAAGGCACTCCCCTTGTTGCCTCAGCCAATATCGGAATCCTCGGCGTCGACATATCAAGTGAAGTTCAGTTTTGTGGTCACTTAGAAGATAAGGCCAAACTGGCCTATAAAAAGCTTGGTGTGTTTAACAGAGCGGGACAGTATTTCATGCCAGCACACCGCTTGCAACAAGGCGGAGGTTCGGCCTCACATGGAATACTATTCCCATCTCTGGGCTGGGGTACCCCAGTGCCAGCTCCATCCATTTGACCGCATCCAGCGCAGAGCGGCTCAAATCGCCGACGACCGAGTCCTTTCCGATCGGCTCGATTCACTGGCGCTGCGAAGAGATGTTGCATCCCTTTCTTTCGCATTTACCACGGGGAGTGCTCTGAGGAATCGTTCGGATTAATCCTAACCACCAAATTTCACGAACATACATCGCGGCAAATCTCCTGATGCCATCCACACCATCTGTATGCTTGGCGGTCCACCACTTTACCTTTCACTAGGAGTTTTCTTCCCCGTACGACCTCTCTGTGGAATAGTTTACCACCGGCGATTTTTCCGGACCGATACGACTTAAGGACCTTCAAGAAACGAGCTTACTCCTTCTTAAAAAGCGGGCGACGCACCTGAAATTCCCTTGGTCGTCGCCAGTTTGGGTATTTACATATGGCCACAGAATAGATTTAGATATACAATTTAGATAGTACAAGTAGTATGGCGTAAAAAAATATAAAGCCCTATGATAATGGCCGCTCAAAGAGTATAAGCATTATACAATGTGCCGCTTCAATGGTGACTTTAATTTAACACACGGGTAGAGCTAGTGCCCATTAATCATAAATAATTTTGATAGGTTAAAATAACTCGTAAATTCAATTTAAAAAAAATCCTTATCGTAAGAGATGTAAACCTACCTACTATAGATTAGACAATGAAAACATCTAATTACTCTTCTAATTACAAAAAAATTTATAAATAAAACAATACGACAGTTCTCTAAGTACAGCTTGGTCTAAAATGCTATTTTCTAAAATTTTAAATAAATCTGTAAATAATAACGTTTAATAGAAATATAATTTCTTCATGAAACGAAAATGAGAAAACGTATATTAAATTAAAGTCACCATTGTTGCTGCACGTTGTATATTATACCATTAATTATTGATGTATTAACAATTTCATCAAAGATTTTTTGTTTTCTTTTATGTATTACAACATTACAACACATTTAGGTTTTTAAACATTAGGGCCGTGGTATAATTCAATGAACGAGAGTTCAATGACTGGCGGTACCAATAAAATTGTTAATGGGAATTTCAAGATCTGATTCATCTGTGGAGCTCAGAACTGTAGAATAACAGATAAAAAAATATATTATACTCAGCCAAGACCCATGGTGCGAATGGCATGCATTATGTTTTTCAGTATACAAGACTTATGCAACGTGCCTATTGTCACCAATTGCTTAACCATATAATTATCATTCTAAATCTGATTCACATGTTTTCACTCTTCGTGCACTTCTTAACACATTTTCTCTTTCTTTGTCGCCAGTTAACACCTTATGTAATAACACTGAAAAGAAAATTGTATTAAATCTGATTCTTCCCAGAACAGATTAACCAGAGAATATCTAAGGTAAACTGCTTAAGAAAATACATGATACGTTCTACGGGGTTGGGGTTCTACGTATTTTGTATCACTTGACAAAATAAAAAAATAAAATAAAAACAAACTACTGTTTTTTACAGGTGAAAAAACTTTAACTTCTTAACACATTTTCTCTATCTTTGTCGCCAGTTAATATCTTACGCTATAACACTGAAAAGAAAATTGTATTTAATATGATTCTTCCTAGAATTGATTAACCAGAGAATATCTAAGGAATTACTTAATAAAATACATGATACGTTCTACGGGGTTAGGGTTCTACGTATTTTGTATTAGATACCAAAATAAAAAAATAAAAATAAACACTACTGTTTTTCACAGATGAAAAAACTTTAAAGTATTGATTTAATAATAAGCACAGATAAGGAGTGTGAATTGGTTTTATTTGTATGTAAATTGCAATATTAAAAAAAAATCAAGGGCATAATGTCCTCCAGACCGAATTTCGGTCATGGCGGCCAGTCTCAAAGGACACTAGCCATCGGCACAGAACAGTCTTATAGTGTCTAAGTGTATGCGCAAGCACAGGTGCACTCTCTATTACCTTAATATTTTAGTCCGATGGGACGGTAAACCGACACGACCGGAGAGAGATCAGGCGCAGGACCTACGGCCACCACTAACTTCCGGACTGTTATTGAGAATTTCTTGAAAGAAAAATCCAATAATTGATTTTGTCCCGAGCCGGGATTCGAACCCCGGACCTCATGATCAGCAACCACGCTATTCACAAAAGGATCGTAATAAATCTGTAGAAAAATCAAGAACATTGAAAATTGGTTCAGATTGTGTCAAAATTACCACAATTGAAATAGGTACTAACTTGATCAAATTTTATAAACTCATTTGCTGACATCCGATTGAACTTAAACTTAGCAGGTTTATGTAACTTTGATGTAGATGCTATAATGATGTACTTATTAGTTAGTGAACTATTGCATAATGACTAACCGACTCACCTTTTTAACACGCATTTTTAGTTTATCTTGTAACAATAATATGCTATATTATGTATGATGGTAATGGAATTTTATAATTTAGTTTTCACCCACTTCTGGACGTCTGAATAATCTGAAATTTTGCAGACGTAGATATTAAGAACCTGACAATACAAAAGTTTCATGACCATTCTCACTAAGACCATCACAGCTCGAGGTCAGAGCGTGTTTTTAAACTCATATTATTTCTGTATAGCGATTTGTAAACAGTGCAAGTACATCTTTTGGACACATTCATTGTCCTTGCCACGGTACCTTTGCGCCAAACGTGCCGCGGTTTCGTATAATATTTAAATAATGCTTAACACGAAATTATCAAAGGACAATAGAAAGAAAAGTTTTTTTTAATCAAATAACATTTAATGGTATAAAAATATATTTACAATCTCATCAATTTGATGAAAGATAAAAATAATGGTGCAATTTTTTATAGTGCCATTGCTTTTCACTTTTACACTCTAGCCTTTTCAAAAATAAACCCTATAAAGAACACTGTAAAGGTATTAGTAATTCACGTAGAAATCTTATAACTTTAAGTAAATTTTAACAATTTTTTCAGAATTTCTATATATCGAATTTATAATTTTTGGTAAATAATGCTAACGCATAAATCTAAGAGGTATGGAATCTATGGATAGGGTTAATTTGATCCATTATCAATTTAATATGAACTGCCGCCAGAGGGTGCACCGTATTCCGAAGATGGTGCAGAAGCCGGCGGTCCATATTGAGGTGCTGGAGATTTCGCTGGTGGATAGCCCTCTTGTTTCTATAATTAAAAATAAGAATTAAAATTATACAGTATACTTGACTTTATACTTAACTTATAATTAATTATACCAACATATTTTCGCGTGATTTGCGACGGAAAACAATAGATATCTCATATTTCATTTGCGACTTTTTTAACATACATAAAATACATTTTATAACATACATAACATTATTTTGTCGTAATTTAAATGTAGCTTGTAGATTAATTTGATTACTTAGTTATATTAACATGAAATATTTTGTTGCGCGTGTTGTTATCGTTACATAATGTAGGTATACTATTATTGTAACATACTTTCATTTCATTGAGAATTGGAATAGACTGGCAATTATAATGCTATTTGCATGAAATATCTATCTTGCAATATGTGTTGTGCAACTAACAAATTGAGTGTCAGAAAAAAGCTAATAGTAGGTACCTATTTTTATAGGATAGGGTGACAGACGAGCACACAGTCCACCTGACGGTAAGTGGTTGCTGTGACCCATAGACATCCACATCTATACTCAATAAAGAATCAAACTGGAGATGCGTTGTCCCCCGGGAGGACTAAGATGGAATGTCTCTTTTCCAGTAAAAAGGATCTCCGGTTCTATACACTCACCATACGAAACGCAGCAGCATTAAGCTGCTATTTTACGCTCGTATTCTGTGAGAATATAATAATAATACCTATTGTACATCTACCTACGTGTCCTATCTACCATCTTTTTAAACGAGTCGTGAAAATTTAAGTATTTATCACATAATAAACAATAAAATCTTGAGATAATAAATATTAAAAAATCAAAATGCTTATTAATTGCTGAGCCGCAAATTAATGGTCACTTATTTGACAATGTTATGTGCAATAACTTTTTGTCGATTTACCAACGATAAGTATTTCCATTCTCCAGACCGAATCCGTCTAGTCTAGTCATCTTCGCAGGGCAGGATAGTGCACCAGGCCCAGTGTGTGTACAGATGTGTGCGCAAGCACAAGTGCACTCTCTCTATTCTCTCACTTTCATTGTTCGGTGGGCAAACCGACACGACAGAAAAGAGATGAAGCGCAGGATGTGGTACGGGGGTGAATTTTATTATGTAACACCACTACGTAGTACTTTTATTTATTCTATGACACTGCCTATTTTCTTATTCCGAGTTGCTACTGAGAATTTCTTGGCACAAAATTCCAATAATTGATTTTGGCCCTGACACGGGATCCGAACCGAGCACCTTATGACCAGCACTCGCACACACAATAGACCACAAAGACAATAAATATGCCGACGAAAACGTCGTAATGGCAGTATCATTGCAACGCACCGGATGAAGTAGACATGTGAAGTGTTGTAATAATGACGATAATGATGATGAGAGCTGGTATAATATACACATATTATACCAGCGGAATGTAAAAAGCAATACAAGGTCTATGTTTGACGCTATATTCCGTAGCTGGTCTGAATTAGGTCTATCGTTAACGTTAGGTTTATGCCACTGTCTATCGAAAGCAATGGGATTTTTCTTGCCATTGCCACAGTCGCTTCTTACGGCAACTACGTGACGAAATAGACCGTTAGATTTGCTTACGCCGCCACCACATAGTTGATATTAGTTATAAACAAACTTGTTTTTAACCAACTTCAAAAAGGAGGAGGTACACAATTCGACGGTATGTTTTTATGTGTGTGTTACCTCAGAACTTCGTGAACCGATTTTGATGAATCTCTTTTTGTTTGAAAGCTGGTGCTTTTCATATGGTCCCATATAAATTTGATCAAGATCTTAACAATTTTTTTTAATTATACTTAATAAAGCGTATTTAATTGACTTCATCTACATTGATGATGTTCTCATTTTATTTACGAGTATATTGAAGTCGGTTGTACAAAATATTTAATTTTACCACTTGTTGTCTTTTTTAATTAGTGTATATGGTAACATTATAATATTTATTATATGTTTTTCTTTACTGTATGAATTGGAAACTTAACGGACGTTGACTCATCAGAGGAAAAAATTAATCTTTTTTTTTTTATAGGATAAGTGTGACAAACGAGCACACAGTCCACCTGATGGTAAGTGGTTACTGTGGCCCATGGACATCTACATCTATCTTCGATTACGAATCAAAATGCAGATGCGTTGTCACCTGTCAGGACTAAGATGTAATGCCTCGTTTCCAGTAAAAAGGGTCTCCGGTTCTCTACACTCACCATACGAAACACAGCAGCGTTAAACTGCTATTTTACGTTGGTATTCTGTGAGAGCGTGGTCCTTCCCTGGTCGAGCCGGCCCATTCGTGCTACAACTATACCTATTACTAATATAGCTGCAGAATGGCTCTACCACGTAAAATAATCTTATTATAAAGAAAAGAAAGACTGAGGGAGAAGCATTGATGAGGTTCGAAGATAATAATAACACAAACTTCACTTTTGACAAATTGAAGTAGGATTTGCGAACTGCGATTTTTAACACAAAGTCAGTTATTAGCGACAGATCACGCACGTCGCAGAGTCGGCATGACTGGTTACTATGTATACCATGCAAAAAAATATTTATATACAGTCGGTATCCAAAAATACTTTGGAAAACAATGCACGTTGTGCCGCCTATTGTTTTATGAAAGTGAAAAGACTGTTATTATGTCACTATAACGACATTACTAGGTGCTGTACGCTATGATGCACTGATGATACTTCCTTGAGAACTCAAGAAAGTATTATTCACGCTTTCACATTTAATTTCAACGTACACCTTGGTTCACTGCAAACATAAACCGCTCTATAGCAGAATTCAATCAAATCATTGCTTGTAGCACATTATAATTCGTAGGTTGTATTATTACTACACATTATTTAACACAACATTCCTACATAGTAAGTGGATGTGGAGAACTACTGTTTTAACTAATCTCGTAGTAGAATAGCTAATTATATTAAACTTACCTGTGTCTTGTATCTGATGAAGTACACCTCTGGCTTGGCGGGTGGAGTAGAAGCTGGCGTTGGGATCACAATATCAGGCTGTTCTTCGGGTTTCTTCACTAAAACGTAGACGAGGGTCTTTTCCTCGTTTTGTGGTTGCACAGGAATGATAGGTGCGGTCGGTGTCGGTGGAGTCGGTGCCTTGATGAACACTATCTTGTAATGTTTTTGAGGCGGAGGTACGTGGATTTGTTTCTGTGGACGCGGTATCTCGTTATCCGGAGGAGGCACATGCACGTATACGTGTTTGTGAACTATGGGCTGTTGCGGCGGCCCATACTGAGGCGCTGGTGCACCATATGATGAAGATGGTGCTCGATAAGATGTTGAAGGAGCGCCGTACGACGTTGGTGGTTCTGGACGCGCTGCGACGCACGCTAACGCCGCCGCCACCACCAATGACCTAAGTACCTGCCAACATAGACATTTTCTATGAAAATACAATTTATAAACTTCTATGACACTAATGAGAACAAAAAAAGTGGTACAATCAGACCACTAGCTTTAAATTGCTTATAGCACACCACTATCACGTACCGTTTTGTCACACATCCTGCTCATGCGTTGAGGCGCAACCTGAAACAGTGCAGTGTCTAAAGATCAGGTGCCACCAGTGTTTATAAGAGATGTACACTACGTATATCCTAGAGAGGGGGTACTTTCGATGGTTCTCATGCCTTGCGTAACGCAATGGTGCTCACGCGCCGCCCTTCTACCCGACGGCGCACAGAGCAGCCATCCATGCTCGGGGGCAGCTATTCAACTTTCAACTTGTACGTAATTTGGACTTGCATTTTACTTCTAAGTAAACAAGTTCTTTGAATTAGATTTTATCAAAGTACAATAAAATCTTACTACAATTTTATATTGCTTTAAAAGTAGTAAAGAAATAAAATCTATTAGTGCTTATTTTTTATTTGAATTGATTTTATAAAATGTTATAAATTATATAATTATTAATGTTCTCATGGTCGATCTGCGATTGTCGTGGTTGGCGACGTTTTGCCGTTTTACTTAGACTTCGTTGTATTGTGTACATGTTGTGTCAGTATCGACTATAAGCCGATGTCTTTTTTATAGTAATATTTTATTTTAGTTTATAAAATATTATGATAATGAAAACATATAACGCAATTGCAGAGTAATTTCTACCGGCAATGATGGGTTTATAATAACGCACACGGCGCTAGCCTAGGGCATCACCGTAGAGAGGGCATCGGTTATTAAACTTCTGATAAAAATGCATGTTACTAATCAATCAAAATAGTAATGAATCTCTGGCTATTACAAATGCCCTAAATGCGTTTAGATTTGATATATTATGAAACATAATTCAAAATGGAAAATTTAGCGATTCGTAAATGCGCAGTTTTTTCCTTAAGTAAAAAGACAAGGAAACAGTATTCAGGCCACTTAAGTATAATTAAAAATTGTAACTATTTTGCTTCAAATTAAAACCAATATAAAATTAAAACTAGGACACCATTTGCTATAAAAACCTAGGGCACCAAAATCCAAAAAGTGAAATACTGCGCTGCCTATCGATAAATTATTTCCGTTGGAGTTACGCATTAGAATTGCTGTCCTGTATCCTAAGTCAGTTGGTAAACAACAAGATCGAAGTATTGAAAGCAATTTTAAATAATGCGTGAATAGAATGACAATATTTTCAAACCCGAAAATTTTAACATGTGTAGGTAATGTAAATATTAGCTCTGCATGGAATTCGAACCCAAGCCCCATTACTCAGTGGAACTCGACATATTCCATTGACTTTACCATAGATATACTGAACGATTCGGCAATCAATTAAAATATTTTCCTTTAATCTGTGAAACAAGAGTATGAATGCGCAAGTCAAGCAAGCATTGATACGAGTGTTCTAAACAGCCTTTAACAAAACTGCAATATATTATTTTATTATCATCATCATCAACAACTCTTAAAAGTCTATTGTTGGACATGCACCTCCCACATTTTAGAAAGGACTAGCCCCAAAGGCCATGCTCGGCAGTGGGATTGACGATCGCATCATCAGAAGTCCCGCTCTTTTGACATGGGGTGTCGCATTTTTTAAATAGGGTGATGGATTCCCATACACCGTCACCACACGGGTAACAAAGTATATTGATATAATACAATATCTTTTATATTCATAACGGTAGTCAAACAAATCAACTGACGTTACAAATTACCCACTGTTTCGTTATATAAAAATATCAAAGGAGGTGCAATTTGTATACTCGACACATCGATAGGTTAACGCTACCTTAATAGTTACGATTGATTCCGCAGTTGGCCAATCATCTACGGTACTATGAAGATGTAAGTTTGCCCCAGAATTGCATTTATCGTAAGATGATTACAGTATAATGTATTGCAGAAACCGTAAGAAACACATTATTGCAGTAGTGGTAACAAAGTGTACTATTATTTATTCTGTGACAAAGTGTTCACCACTTAGTTGTAAGCTCACATAGACTGTGGTTTATTTGTAAGTTTATGTAATTTTTAATGCGAAGAAAAAATATTTTAACGCTATTATCCAACATGTACTTCAAACTAATCATAGCAAAGATTACTGAGTTCACAAACGTGGGCATAACAAATCTCAGAGAATGTGTATGGTGTTCGTGTATAGTTCTTTATCGATGTTTATTAAACTTACAGTATTAAATGCCAAAGAGAGCACATTTCTACGTTCACAGTTCGACGATTTGTTGATCGTTATTCCAAGTATTTGAAATATCAATGTACTAAGAAATACTCCTGCATTGTCCTTTGGTTACGTTGAATAATAGCATTTTAGTAATTGTTAATTAAATGTATTGGTGTGTTACGTTCAATGCGTGACTTCAGCTAACAGAACGCTCTGAGACGGTAGTCCAGTATCAATCACAAGTTCACACTCTACCATCCCTGGAGGACGGACATGTAAACATTAGCTGGCTTGAGGTCGTCTTTATTATCTCATTTGACCCACGCAAGTCTTACTGAAAATGGACGTAAATAAATATTGTACATCACCAGTACGATTTGTTCGCGGTAAATTTAAGGTAAGTAAAAAATCGAAGCAAATGTTTGTATGGTTTCCAGTTTTAAGTATCATATTTTTAGTATTTGTAAAGAATTTTTGAAATAATATAATTGAAATGGTCTAATGAAATGATAGGAAATAATTTAGTACCTAAGAAAATGTAATTAAGTTTTATTGCGAGTAAACACAATTTTTGCAACTTCATCACCGAAATAGACTAACATCAATCTTTTGAATTTTCGTATTACAGCAGGATTGCATATCCTAGACTTTACAATCATAACTTAAATACAATTTGTTGCATATTTTGTTATTTTGATTTGTAAGGCATAAAGTTTAAAATAGAACTTTTGCAATAATACTGTTACTTATGAATTTGAACATGAACAATTTGTCAAATATATATATATATTTTTTTAAATCACGGTTGCAAAACCTATACTTACTCCTCCTGTCTTAAAGTTTTCGTAATAAGCATTTGGCAAAAAGTACGCTTTACGTCACCACGTGTGATGGTCATGGAGTTTTTTTTGGGCTTTACTTTCGTAGAATAATTAGCCACATCACGAAATAACCTCTTGACGTGTTGTTTTGGTTTAGAAGTAAGTACCTAATGTTACGTATCCGCAACATATTATTGTGGCGCAAAAGTATTACTTACTTATTTATGCTATGCCAAATTAAAAAGGAGTTATAGATTTATTGCTTTCTTGAAGTTTTTGGTATCATACAGGGAATTTATTAATAATAAATTGATATTATTAGGACAATATTAGTTCAATATTTAGGATAATAATCAGCCTAACACAAATATTAATTTTATTTATTAAATAAATTAAAACTATTTTTAAACCTTTGGATTGTAATAAGAAATATCACAATCTCAATATTGTCTAAATGGTTACATGTTTTAATCCCCTATTTTGCCACCCTTTTTCTCCAAATTTACACCTGAAGAATTTAACCTACTTACCTATCAGAATCTGTTCACAATTTGCGAATATATCGCGTATCACACACTAAAAAAAATAAATAATAAAACATACAGTTGAATTGAAAGCCTATTTTTTCGAAGGTGGCTAAAAATATTAATTACCTACTCATGTTTTTTTTAATTCATGGACAAAAAAAGTATATCTGAATAAATCTTGAACAATTTTTTAGCATAATTGGCTTGTTTAGAAAATATACACCGACTTCAGTTTTCATTCAGACATACATACATAGTAGCATATGTGAACTATTGCGTTAGTATAGAGTTGGAGGCCGAGAAGGAACTTCCGATTTGTGTTGTGATACGCCTTACCAGAGAAGGAAAACGAAGAGGAGTTGTCCTCTCCCGAGGACCCGCTTTGAATGGCAGGTGCTAGTAGCCCTGCAAATATGTGGCGAAGGTAGAACACAACGGGATTTTAGTCAGTTGCAGTCCGACATGACTTGTCCTCGCCCCCGTTAATCAGATATGCGTAGGGATATTTTCATAAAGAATGTGTTAGTACTTATACTGCTGTGATATAAAAACTCATCAATAAAATCGGTTGACTAGCTTCGGAAATATTACGTTATTACATCATAGATACATTAAAAATTGTTACTTGATAAAAAAAAATAAAAACTTATAAAAAGTGGAAGCATATTATAACGCAATTTATTGAATATATTGATAATAATTCACAACCTTTATTAAAAAAGTGTGTGTGTACTTATATACGCACGTAGGAAGTTATAGATATTTCTTTAGCGTAACAAAATAAAAAAAATTTGAGAGACAATAACCCACTGAAGTTGTTGCTTTTAAGTGTCAGAGTGCGCGCGCATCGTAAAAATTCACTCGCATCATTTTTCCCAAACGCCCCAAAAGAAGTATAACTCCAAAAATAAACAAAACTTTAAATGATTAGGTAGGCACTTTGCTTCTCAAATTGATTTCCTGTTCGGTTATCTGTTTCCCCCGTACGCTTGTAGAAACTATACAACTGGACTTTATGATTCTTTTACTGGGAAGGTTTTAGATTTTGGTCACAGTTCTAAAGGTTTTCATTTTTACTCGGTTTATTAATAAAATGAAATTTACTAAATTTATTTTACTTGGGAGTAAGCTCTAATTATTTGATTTTTTTTTTTGAAAATTTGAAGGACTACGTTTATACGTACCTAGATCCAATTAGAAGCAACAGTAACATTTTTGTCTTGCAGTCATGGAAGACAAAAATGTTGCATGAAAGAGAATTATTTCAAATATTATAATTTATAATTGTATGGCTCATCTAAACGTTTATTACGAAAATTGCCAATCAGCTTAATAATAATCCATTGATCTCTTTCGAAAAGTCATATTGACTATACCATCAGAAAATCAAATTTGTTTTCTGTTTATTCCCAGTACAGTACAGTAGCAACACTCAAAAATTCGAAATAAGGCTTTCGAATAGTCCACTGCCGAATCTCTTTTTCTTACTATCACTGCCGGTTTTACCCTAATGGTCTTTAGCATCCTTATAAGTTGTCGTTGTAT